ACCGAGGCACTGTGGCAGCCGCGGGCCACAAAAATCGAGAGCCAAAGTGCATTAAAAATTCAGCGTCTCTGCGAATGATTTTTCACTTTGCGCTCAGCGTCAGATGGAGATAGTCGGCCTGACAGGGGATCCTGGGGGGGAGGGGGGGTGGCAAAAAGAGGAATGGAAAGAGAGAGAGAGAGGGAAAAAGATGCCATGGGGGTATAGATGATGATAATGCCTTGTGATTGCGTTCATTGCATCATGTTTCATGCAGAAGGCAGCCCAGCCCGAAAGGTTTCCACATCCAAGATGTGTGCTTTTATTTCCCCAGCGTTCACTTTATTCTCCTCGTCTGCGTGTGGCTTAATAATTTTATTGCCCTTGGTTACGCTTTATGCTTGGACTGGCTGCAGGATAAGCTTTTTCTTGTGTGCCCCCATGCGCCGTTCCTCGTGCTCCACACGACCTGCCAGTATCTGCGTCTCTATCTCTGTGGGTGCGTGTGTGTTTCGGTGTAATTGCATTATTCCTTTCGCTGGGAAAACAGTTTTCTTTTAATTGAATTTTCCGACCTGGTCTGGTCTGGTCTCTACGTCTCTGGCTTATTTGCATACAAGTGTGTGTTTGTTGTCCCCAGGCTGTAGTGGGCGGCGTCTCCAAAGGGTTCGTTCTGCCTATATAAATCACTTTCTGGCAATCCCCGATTCGATTCGAAGACAAACAGGAATATCTTGTCCCCCCACCAAGCCACCTGATATATGACCTTTATTATGGGTTTGATGTGTGCGTATGGGCTGCTGTGGAGGCAGGCGATAAATAAATCGGTTTAAGAGGTGCCACATCTTCGAAAAATGTATTACGCTCTCGGCTTATGCGGCGAATGAGCAATTCCCCCATAGCACTCCTGGCAATTGATACAAAATCACAGTCCCACAAATTGCTTCATCTTTGAAAGGGACTCTGCGATTGGGGGATAGGGTCGGATTCGGATAGGGTATAAGATAGGGCTGGGAAGAGGGTTCCCTGACTACCAAGTGTCATGTTTATGCATGAGGCAATCCACGTAACGAGCAGCACCGGGCGAAAGTCGAAACGCATAACGAAAGCCCTACCACATGCTGTCTTATTATCAAGGTAGCCTCGTCTCGGGTACCCGAGATGGTATTGGCCAACCATTCCAATGGAAGGGTGAGACGAACAGGATACAGCATACTCTGCTATCCAAAAGGGTTGACATGACTTTGATCGAACCTCCTTTTGAGCGCCCATAGCACTGCGATTCTTTGTCATTAACCAAAATATTTATTTTCTGTGGTTTCTGCTATTTTTGATTTGTACATTTTGTTGTTTACTTGTTGTTTAAACCCGATGATCCTTAAGCTTAGACCCTTCAATATTCAACAATAAGCAATGCGCCTAGATGAGTGTATCTCTTGAGAGTATGAAAAGAGTGAAATTCTTCCTGCAGTCGATTGAAGGAAATAGGATTGATTAAGTCTATTTTCAGTCGATTCTATTTATTATAGCGAATAAATTCCTTCAATCGATTATGTTTTTGGGTTTGAAAGCGATATTCTTCTTTTGTATCTTCGGGATAGTTTTTTCTTATGAAAAAAAGTCCCATAGCCTTAAGAATTTCGCCGACGCAGCCTACATATTTATGCAAAAAAACCTTTATTTGAGCGTCTGGTCGAATAACCGACTCGAGCACAGCAGAAAGTCTTTAGATCGATAAATGATTTATTTTTTGTCTTCGAAAATTAGAATTTTGTACTATTTAGCATAGATAAAAGATAGGTTGTGCAAACAGTACCGAAGCACGAGCATCCCTAATAGAATGAGGGTAGCACCTTGTCGACAATCTTGCAAAAACGACCCCAGGGCGTTTGTATGGCCACGGCTGTTGATTCTGCATGAAATCTCTAAGGAAAGAGACTCGGAGCGAGGGGAAAGTGGAGGCCATGGGAGGAAACTTCAGAGCAGTGACTCTGAGGTAGTTATTGAGAGGCTCATCCTCGTCACTGCGGTGATGGTGATGCTCTTTCATGCAAATCGTGTTTCATCCTAATTTATGCTTCGGCTCAGTTTACAAAATTTACATGAGACAGCCAGGGGGACAGCAGTAGTAGCAGCTGCTTGACCTACTCCGCTCCCAGTCGCCCCCATTTCAACCAAAATCAACCATCAGCTTCAGCATGGGCATCACCATCACCATTGCCCATCCCTCATCCAGAATCACTTAAGTCGGGCTATATGCATGAGCAATGGCAACATTTGGCTTAGCCAGAGAGGCGTCCTCTCTGTGTACATAACTTCATATTCATAACATACTACAGGATTTCTTTGTTGCCTCTCCGGGCCTACTGTAGCTTGTCGGCCTAGCCTGTCTGCTCCTTGTTGCGGTCTTGAGACAACGCCAAACGGAAAAGCAATCACAAGCCGCACCAGAATGGGGAACGGGGAAGCGAAAGACGAGGACTGAGAATGCGACTGAGACTGAGTGTGAGTGACAGCGGCAGCGGCAAAAAGGACAAAGGAGGGGCCTAGCGGACAACAGTTTGGCTACTTAGTGGCCAAACATTTGACATAATCGTTGATAAGGGATTCCCATACAAAACAAAAAGAAAAGAAAACTGCGAAAAGGAACACGCAACGAGTAGGAGCAGAATGCCAAGGACAATTGTATGAGTATCTGGGTGAATCTCGAATACTGTGGGCCAGATTCTTTGCCAACTGAAATCGCAATTGACTAGCGACTTTAGAAAAAGGCTGCGGTTGTAACTTTATTACGAACTTTTTTTTAGGTCAAGTGAATGCAGAGATTTTTCCCATTGAAGATTCCACCACTGATTTGGACTAAGCTATTCCATATACTATGTTTTCCTCGTTTATTTGAATTTTCGCAGACGTGAATTTTCCATCTTTTTATACGCGATACTTAAAATGGGTATTGGGGTATATTAGATTTGCTGTAAAAGTGGATGTGTGTAACGTCCAGAAGGAATCGTTTCCGACCCTATAAAGTATATATATTCTTGATCAGCATCAATAGCCGAGTCGATTGAGCCCGGTTTGTCTGTCCGTCTGTCCGTACGTCCGTCTGTCCGTCCGTCCGTCCGTCCGTCTGTCCGTCCGTCCGTCTGTCCGTCCGTCCGTCTGTCCGTCTGTCCGTCCGTCCGTCCGTCCGTCTGTCCGTCCGTCCGTCTGTCCGTCTGTCCGTCCGTCCCTATTAGCGCCTAGTTCTCAAAGACTCTAAGAGCTAGAGCAACGAAATTTTATATCCGGACTTCTGTGATATGTCACTATTACGAGAATATTTCAAAACTTTGCTCCGCCAACTTCCGCCTCCACAAAGGGCGAAAATCTGTGGCATCCACAATTTCAAAGGTACAAAAAAACTGAAACTAAACTCAAAACGCAGAATCGTAAAGGAGGACCATATGTTGTAGAGTGTAAAATCTGAACCAGATCGTATAATTATTATAGCCAGAATCAAGAAAACAATTTCATTCTTTCTCGTATCCCTACTCCTGTTAGATCTCACTATAAAACGTATATCTCAAAATTGCTCACTCTTTGTCGTGTTGTTTAATATTAGCGGCGTCTGCCGGAGGAGAGCCATACTGACTAAGTATCGGGTACAAATGTAGAGTTCCGGTCTCCGCAGCAACTCACAACGTTCCCTCTCGTTAAATTAGGAAGAGTGTATACACATACTTTTGGGTTTTGCATTTTCACAAAAAAAGGTTCCTTTTTCGTTTTTAGGTGCTCCCGTTTTCAGAATTTTTGTGCATATTTTTTCATGGCTGTTAAACGCACAATTTAGTGCATGGCGCGCACAAAATCCTCTGTTATGAGTAACATCCTATGTAACGATAACCGAATCGGGCCGTGTCAGCTGTTTTCTCGAAAACGAAAAGTGTTGTTGTCCTGACCAATTATTCCCGAGACAAACTTCAGGTTGGGTTAAAATAAAATATTATGTATAAAGAAGTCAAAAGCTAAATTGCCCTGGTAATGGTGTCGAATTTATGAGTTTTTTTCTATCCCCATACGTATGTAGTATCTGTATTAATCATGTACAATGTCTCCATTAATTTGATTACTTGCAGGCTTTCACTTTTGGGAAAACTTTACATTCCACTAAAAAAAATGTATCCATTCATATACCCGTATGCATCTGCAAAATAAATATAGTATATATAAATATTTTCATCGGCGTAGTGCTCGTTTGTAAAATTTGCATAATTTTTCCTATGATGAATGATGTGCAAATTTGCATATTTATATATTATCCAATTTATTTGCACAGTTTTTGTATATGGTTTTTTCATGAAATAATATTAACCTCCTTCCATAATTATAATTCCCGTACAGTGCACAGTTTTTGTGCGGATACTAAACAAAATATATGCGTTTGCGTAGTAGCTATGAGCATAAAGAAACATTTTAACAAAACCAAAATAGTAATTTCAATTGTTTTTGAAGTACGATACATGGGTATGAATTTCGTTTGTAAATTGATAAACGTTGATGACTGCTGCATATTCTGAGGGCTTCCATGCGATCGCTTCTTTGTAGAATTGCTGTACGGAAACACTCGATACTCGTCCGGTGGTTTCTGCTTGCACTGATCATGAGTCGGCTTCTGAGGATGATTCTCATACTGTGACAGAGAGAGAGAGAGAGAGTGAGCGGGAGTGCCCGAGTTGTTGAGCAGTCAAATGGATTGGTTCAGTCTAGCTATAATATTGATTCGATTTGATCCAGATTCTGAAAAAGATATGATCATGCTCTATGGTTCTGTATTTTTGCTTTTGTCGTTTCATCAATATTGTAAATTATCATCGTGTGAGGGAGGTGGCAGAGAGCGGGGCTATATTTTAAAAAGAAGAACTGAAGAGCTGCACAACGCTCACGATTTTAATTTAATTGGCATAAGTATTTATCGAATCGCGAATATAAATTTTGTGCAATTTGTTTTATTTAATACAATAATTATAAAATATATCATTGAATCCAAAGTGACTTTCAACATTTTTAGTGTTTCCTCTTTTCCAACGTGATGTTGTCCTTGTAAATCTGACCTACAAGGCGCGGCACCGTCTCCAGATACTTCATGAGCTGCATCGCATCCTGCATAGAGGTCATATACTTGTTGTGTATCTTCATGATCATGGGAGTGATGACCTTGCAGTTCACTAAATCATCTATACTCATACTGCACTCGATTTGTGGCAGCTCATCTGTTTTCGAACCCTTAAATGAATCAGTGGTGGGCGCATTAACATCTATGGCCAAATTCGGGAGGGAAGCGATTTTTGGATGTTTGGACATTGTTTCCTTCATATCTTGATTTCCGTCATCTCTGGGCTGACTCAAGTCTAAAAAGATGGACACATTCTCTTCTACATCCACCGACTGCAATTCCATCTCGTCCCAGATCATGGCACGCAGCTCGTTCCCGCTCTTCGCACTGATCGAAGTCGATACCGAGTTGCTACTAGCCATGGAAAACACATCATGCTCGTCACCGGACAGTATGTGTTTGGGTCTGTACTTTGGGGAACCTTCACCGTAATATTCCATAAAGTTGTTGGATGTCTCCTTATCTACTCCGAAATTAGACTCTTCGGAATCATCCTCCGGCGTATCGCTGAGCTGATCTTGACACGGCTTCTGAGGATGATCCTCATACGGATCCTTCTTAGGGGCTTTTTGGTATTCCTTTGGCAGATTTTGCTGCATCATCTTGTCAGGATTTTTAGGAGGCTGCTCATCATAAACCTTTCTGGAAGAGTGCTGCATATTCTGAGAGCTTTCATGCGAATGCTTCTCTGTAGAATTGTGGTACGGAGACACCCGATACTCCTCCGGTGGCTTCTGCTTGAACTGATTATGAGTCGGCCTCTGAGTATGATCCTCATAAGGATCCTTCTTAGGGGCTTTCTGGTATTCCTTTGGCAGATTTTGCTGCATCATCTTGTCAGGATTTTTAGGAGGCTGCTCATCATAAACCTTTCTGGAAGAGTGCTGCATATTCTGAGAGCTTTCATGCGAATGCTTCTCTGTAGAATTGTGGTACGGAGACACCCGATACTCCTCCGGTGGTTTCTGCTTGAACTGATTATGAGTCGGCTTCTGAGTATGATCCTCATACGGATCCATCTTAGGGGCTTTCTCGTATTCTGTCTGCAGATTTTGCTGCATCATCTTGTAGGGATTCTTGCGATCATCCTCTGTCTGGTTTTCCGTGTGACGATTCCCATGCGAATGCTTCTGTGTAGAATTGTGGTACGGAGATACTCGATACTGCTCCAGTGGTTTCTGCTTGAACTGATCAGGAGTCGGCTGCTGAGGATGATCCTCATAAGGATCCATCTTAGGGGCTTTCTGGTATTCCTTTGGCAGATTTTGCTGAATCATCTTGTCAGGATCTTTAGGAGGATGCTCATCATAAACCTTTCTGGAAGAGTGCTGCATATTCTGAGAGCTTCCATGCGAATGTTTCTCTGTAGAATTGTGGTACGGAGATACTCGATACTGCTCCGGTGGTTTCTGCTTGAACTGATCAGGAGTCGGTTGCTCAGAATGATCCTCATACGGCTCCTTTTTAGAGCCTTTCTGGTATTCCGTCTGCAGATTTTGCTTCATCAGCCTGTTAGGATTTTGAAGAGGCTGCTCATCATTTGAATAGTGCTGCATATTCTGAGGGCTTCCATGCGAATGCTTCTCTGTAGAATTGTGGTACGGAGACACCCGATACTCCTCCGGTGGTTTCTGCTTGAACTGATTATGAGTCGGCTTCTGAGTATGATCCTCATACGGATCCATCTTAGGGGCTTTCTCGTATTCTGTCTGCAGATTTTGCTGCATCATCTTGTAGGGATTCTTGCGATCATCCTCTGTCTGGTTTTCCGTGTGACGATTCCCATGCGAATGCTTGTTTGTAGTTTTATGATACGGAGACAGCCGATTCACGTCCGGTGGATGTTGCTGGAATAGTTCTTCAGACGGCGTCTGTGGAGGATAGTCCTTCGTAGGGTGATTCTGGTATTTCGTCTGCTGTTTGTACTGCATCATCTTGGCAGGATTCTGTTCAGTCTGATCATCGTACGGCTGTTGTGAATGCTGCCGCTGCTCTTGAGGATTTTGATGCTGATTTGGAGAATTATGATACGTAGTCTTTGGGTACTGCTCTTCTGAATGATGCTGAAAGGACGTCGGAGAAGGTCTTGGATACCGATCGTTATTCTTTTGCACCTGCTGCTGCTTGGCGGAGCTCTGATAGTTCTTGCGATACGTCTTCGACTGTTGAGGATGATTCCGATCGTCCTGCTGCTGCTGTTGTGGTGGAAAATCGGCTTGATCACTGGAACGCTGCACTAAGACAGATCTGTGATATGGTTTCTGTGTCTTCTCCTGGATTGGAGTTTTCTCCGTAAGCCATTGCAATGTTCTTAGATCGGTAGGAGAAATAATCTGACGGACTTCCTTCCATAGCTTTTTCTTGCTCTGTTGCGGCATCTCATCCTCTAATAGGTAGCGAATTCTGTGACTTGTTTCTTCTCTTTTGCCATCGCTTGAGCAACACTTGTGATCTTGTGTATCCATCAAGCGAGCGGAAATTGATGCTGTTTCAATGGATTTTGTTTGTTCAGTACACTCGTGTGACGAGAGTTTACCCATTCAGGGATGACTTTAATAGCAAGATTACTTTGCTTGCTAAAAATGAAAGCATGAAAATTAATATGATACAAGAAAAGTCAAGTATTGTGTGGTAGGGTTTTTATTCTTATTTTCAAAATGAGTGGAAACGTTGTCAGAGGCGGCAGTCAGGAACGACTTAATTTTTACGTTAAAGTAGGGATGGGCACCTAATGGCCGATTTGATTCGAATTTTTGAATTTTTATCTGTCTCCATTTTTCTGCTGCTCTTTCTTATTACGCTACATCTGTCTGTCTCTCACCCTTTTTCCTACCAACACCAGCCGTTATGTCTTGCTCCCCACCGCCAGAGGTCGCACAATGCGCGAGGAATACTGTGACAGAGAGAGAGAAAGGGAGAGAGTGAGCGGGAGTTGGATTGGTTCGTTCTAGCTATAATGTTGATTCGATTTGATGCAGATTCTGAAAAAGATATGATCATGCTCTATGGTTCTGTATTTTTGCTTTTGTCGTTTCATCAATATTGTAAATTATCATCGTGTGAGGGAGGTGGCAGAGAGCGGGGCTATATTTTAAAAAGAAGGACTGAAGAGCAGCACAACGCTCAGGATTTTAATTTAATTGGCATAAGTATTTATCGAATCGCGAATATAAATTTTGTGCAATTTGTTTTATTTAATACAATAATTATAAAATATATAAAGAGGTATCATTGAATCCAAAGTGACTTTCAACATTTTTAGAGTTTCCTCTTTTCCAACGTGATGTTGTCCTTGTAAATCTGACCTACAAGGCGCGGCACCGTCTCCAGATACTTCATGAGCTGCATCGCATCCTGCATAGAGGTCATATACTTGCTGTGTATCTTCATGATCATGGGAGTGATGACCTTGCAGTTCACTAAATCATCTATACTCATACTGCACTCGATTTGTGGCAGCTCATCTGTTTTCGAACCCTTAAATGAATCAGTGGTGGGCGCATTAACATCTATGGCCAAATTCGGGAGGGAAGCGATTTTTGGATGTTTGGACATTGTTTCCTTCATATCCTGATTTCCGTCATCTCTGGGCTGACTCAAGTCTAAAAAGATGGACACATTCTCTTCTACATTCGCCGACTGCAATTCCATCTCGTCCCAGATCATGGCACGCAGCTCGTTCCCACTCTTCGCACTGATCGAAGTCGAAAACGAGTTGCTACTAGCCATGGAAAACACATCATGCTCGTCACCGGACTGGCTGTGTTTGAGTTTGTCCTTTGGGGAACCTTCCATGTGCTTGTTGAGTGTCTTCTTATCCACTTCGAAATTAGACTCTTCGGAATCGTCCTCAGGCGTATCGCTGAAGCATGCGAATGGAGGAAAGTCCGACATCTGCTGATTTGGAGGCTGTTTCTGTTGAGAGTTCTGTATTGCCTCCAGCTTGAAGGTACGATAGGAATGTTGCTTTTGGTTCTTGTGATACGAAGCGCGCCGATACGACTTCTGTGTCTGCTCCTTGATAAGATCCTGAGACCTACGCTGAGTAGGATACTGAAGCAAACCCTGTTTAGGAACATACTCCATGCTCTTGTACAGTGTGCTCATAGACTGGAACTCTCCGGAATTTTCTCTAGCTAGTCCTGGATTTTGCGTCATTCGGATGCCTTTGCCGAACGATGCTTTCTTTTGGGTTTGATATGACTCCTGCTTCTTGGTATCCAGGGCATTATCTATGGCTGAATTCTTGGGTGCATTTTTACACTGGCTATCATTATACTGGCTCTTGGGCGGGGGAACATTGTCAGTTGTTGACAGCCCCCACAAATAGTCCTTCAAATGAGAGACCACAGTATCAGACAGTTCGCCGAACACCGAATGAATTTCAATCTCGTTCCGGACCAAGGCACACAGCTCGTCCCGGACCATGGAACGCAGCTCGTCCCTGCTCTTCACAGTGATGACGGTCGATCTTGTGGAGGTGCTGTTCGTGCCGTTCTCGTCACTACACCGTCTGCATTTGTAATATCGTTTTTGTTTTACAGTGGAATCTTCGCAATTCTTCTCGGAGATCTCGCTCAAGGATGTTGATGTAAGAATGTCCGAGTTCTTAGCGAGAAATTCCCCACCAATCTCTCTGGCCCCCTTATCCGGCTCAAGTCGACAACTGTATTGATGAGGAGGCGACAATTGGATGTGCTTAGCTTGCTGTTTTTCGAACTTCTGACGTGACGGTGACATCATTTGATAATGCTCCTGTTTGTGCTTATGAAAAATATTCTGATTCGTCTGATGCGGTGAACTCTGACACAGTTTAGGGGCATATTCCATGTATTTGTATGCTGAGCTTTTATCAAGTCCTTTCAAATCTTTGTCAAAGTCTATCACGTCCGTGTTCTTACAAAGCATCTTTGGCTTTTGTGGACTGTAGTGATGAGGACGCGGGGATATGACGTCTGTAGTTTTGCTTATCGGTGCTCTCTTCTGGCTTTGATTGCATTGAGGAGAATTCTGTTCAGGTTCATCGATATTGTCAGCGAAATTCGCCTCATCCGGAGGAGTCTGGCATGTCTGTTCCAGATATTGCTGCTTCGGCTGCTGTTGCTTGCCTGGACTCTCATCAAAATTCTTCTGATACTTCTGGCACTTCTGGCACTGATGTGGCTGTTTTGCTAGGTAATCGCCTGGATGATAGCTACGGTGCATACCACAGCCGGATCTGTGCGCGCTTATACGCTTCTGAGCCTGGGTCTGGTCCTGAATGGAAGGCTTCTGCTCTTGCTGCATAGAAAGGATCTCCATTGGCCATTTTGGCTCCTCTAGATAGGCTTGAGTCGACATTTCACCTCCCATCCCTCGAGCCGTGCGCTTGTCCTGTTGTGACACCTCCTCCTCCTCGCTTGTCCGTTGATTCATGTCTGGAACTTTGAGGAATGATCGAACCGGTTTCATTTTTGCACTACTGGCCTCGTAGAATTGAGCAAAATCGAAGCAATAATTGTTGGCTTGTTTGTCTATAGATCGAGAGAAGTTTTTTAATGTTCTAATCTATACGAATTTGTTTATTATACTCGTATGAGGATATTGATGTAATCCATTCAGTGATGACTTTAATATCAGGGCTACATTGCTAGTTGAAACTGAACGAATGGCTATTTGATCCAATTTTTGTATGTTTTTTTCTTGGATTATCATTAACACCCTTCCACAATTTTAATTCCCTTCGGCATTAAGAAACAAATACAAAATCCCTGCCTCGTCCAAATAAGGAAAAAGTCATGCATTTTAATGTACATTTTTCACATCGTCTTGTTCAGAAAAATTTCGTTTCATGAACAACCGAAAAACCAATCAAAATTCCACGAATGTTGGGATTTTTTTTTTATATTCTGTTTCAAAATTTGAATTTCACATAACGTATGCGTGAGCCAACGCGATAGGTTTTTGATAAATATTCTCTGTTCTGGTGTGTCCGGATGTCGGGCCTCGGGGCTGATAAGTAGCTACCATTTTTTAATGTCACTTTTTTGTTGGACGCTTGGGCGTTTGGTATCGTGGTATCAGGGTATCGGGCTATCGGAGGGTGAATGGGTGTTCCTTACTGTCCAATGGAGCGTACATTTTGAAATTGAAATCAGTAGGAGGCCGACGGAGAGGAGCACAGCACAGGCACAAGAAGAAGCAGCAGCAGGCGTTGCCAGTTTCTTCTTTATCTCTCGCCTGTCAGTGGATGCTTCATTGAGTTTTATGTGGAAAAATGCGCAGATACGTTTAAATATACAGACACACATATACACCCTTGCGTATATATGTATATAATAAATCCTATATAGTATTTAATACGTACATATATATGTATGGATATATATATGGATGTTGATGGGCAGCCTGACCAGGCAATAGCTCGTAAAACTTGCAGCGGCTTCTTCAGCTCCGTAAGCCGGTTAAGAGTTCGCACAAAGTGTTAAATCTCTTACATTGTGTGCCTCTTCTCGCTCAGCAGCACCTCTGTCCTGGGTGCTGGGCTCCTCTTTACCCACTCAGCCCCCTTGATTTAACCGCTTTGTTCCCCCTCTGGCTGGGCAAAGTTTATATCTCCTTGGCGGATGTTTGAATGCTTTATAATTACATTTTATGTGCCATCGTTGGGTATAGTATATAGGATGCCAACAGGTGCAATTCATGGAGTCGGAGTGGGAGTAAAGTCCGAGTGGGTGGAGAACAGATTCCGGGCAGATTCCGGGACAGAGTGTGGCACAGGGTACGGGCACAGAGCCCTTCCTTTGGCCATCGTTTATTTAATTTACAGTCTTGATTGAATGTTTGCCTTCGGCTCAATGGATTCTCTGCTGTAATTGCTCCAAGTTTATGCCCTTCTCCCTCTTTTTGTACTCCAACTCTATCCATCCTTCTCTGAAAGATACTAGAGAGCTGCAAACATTTACGAACAATACAAGTATCTTATCCTTGGACCATCCACGAGACTCTGTCTGTTATACATTTGATTTACATTTGCGACATGTTTACAGCCTCGTTTGAGGAATGAACGTTTTTTGTCTTGTTTTTTTGTTATTCATTGGAGGCCACCACACCACAGGGTGGCCAACCGCCCACACCTCCGGACGTATTTTAATAAAGAATACTTGCCCCATTGTTAACCGTAATAAATCCGCTTCTGTGGGGGGCATAAAGTGACACCATTGTCTCTGTAATGAATGTCGAGTGTATGCTAAGTGAGTGCTGAATGAAAGAATTGAATCAATTCGACTAAGCGCCAAATTGATTGGCAATGATGCGCGATTGATTGCCATCTCATTGAACTGACGCTCAGCGTGAAAGGAACATAGCGGATGTAATGTTGATTGATCTGTGATCGAATGATGTTTGAGAGATTATGGCTTGATATCTGTGAGAAGTCTAATCATAAATGATGGAGTCCTAGATTCAAGATCAACTTTGATAGAGCTAATGATTGAAGCAGATCGAAAAATCAAAACGATGTACTGGTTCAGGCATTGTTAATTACTTTTATTGATTGATGACCCCTTTCATCACTGATTCCTGATGTTTAACTAATAAATGGCAATGACCAGAGGCTAATCCGCATCAAAGACACATAGACATGGGTTGACTAAGATAGTTTCCTGATACGGATAGATTAGCAAACCACTCAATCACGGCCATCAATCATTGTGCTCTGGAGTCAAGTAACTTATCCATGCAAAAGCTTAAATTACGCCCCAAATCAAAATTTCCACAAAGTTAATGAACTTTCCCTTGCCCCCAGAATATCTCACACAGGCGCACACACCTAGTCTGTCCAGCCCCCGCAATCCCCCTTTCCATGGAGCTCTCGAGACTATTTATTGTAGATGACTTTGGGCGAAAAGTTTTGTATTTAACTGCAAATGGGGTGTGTCTGCCTGTGTGTGTGTGTGTTTTTGTGTGTGTGCGCAGCTCCAACAATATTAATTTGAATTGCAATCCAAACAAGAGAGATAGGTGAGATTTTGAGGACCGAAGCTTGAGATACTCTTGCAGATTCATTGACTTCTATGATGACTTCTATGTACATTGAAACTGATTGAAAGGTAAGAAGAAACACATAAACTAGTATCCTTATGGGTTACAGCTTTGTGATATAGTTATCCGACCTATAAGGACTAAGAACTCTAACGGTTTGTTCGAGCGTTGTAAGCAGAGCTCGGAAAAAATGGTATGACTTTGCAAGCCTGCGGGCCCGATTAAAAACGGAATCGAAAAGATACGTCGAATTCGTTTGTTCTCAACGCGCTCTTTGATCAACCAACGAGAGTATTTTGTCGTTCTCTTTTTGCTCATGAGGCACTTCGTAGAGCAAAATTTTCCACAAGTGCTTTTTTATATCTTTTATAAATATCTTTCTTTTATCTATCTTTTATAAATACTTATCTCTTTTCGTTGCAAACATAGAAATCATAATATCCTTTGCAAGGGTATAGCAAGTGTGCATAATAGACACACGGATGGTGATGGTGATGGTGGGAGAGAGGGAGCAGATTGTGGCTGCCCTTTAAGCGACTTTTGCTCGAGGAATTCAGTTAAAAACTAAACCGATCCAAGCCAAAATGAGCTGAAAGTTTGCCGACACGCACACGCACAGGCGCACACGCACACTAATGCGGAGCATTAATTGTATGGCCGTCTGTGTGTGCGAGCCTGTGTGTGAGAGTGCCTTTAACCTTGTAACTAAATTGTTAGACATTTTAATTAATTTCCACTTTAATGTTTACTTAGCTAAATGTTTTCTTCGCTGCAGGCAAAAACGAGAGATACAACAGCAACAACGGATACAATAGCAGCAGCAGCAGCAGCGTAAGATACAACAGCTACAGATACTTGTAACTAAAGTGACATGAGGCCTTAGCAACAAAAACTACAACAGCAACAACAAAACCCAACTACAGCAACAAAAGTCACAGCAACAAGAGAGGGAACCGTAGAGCACTAAAAACCAAATTACAAACAATTAAAAGAGAACACGACGAAGGATCCTCTAGAGAGCTTGACAACGGTAGAGGCGGCGCAGCCACACGCAAAAAGGACCCCCCGCACACAGCAAGGAACAGAAGTAGGAGGAGTAGCAGCAGGAACTGTAACAGAAGAGCTGGAGGTGGAAGTGGAAGTGGAGAAGTAACGCAGCAGCCACCTACATGCCCCAATGCCAGGAGCAGCAGCAGCAGCAGCAGCAGCACCACCACCACCACCACCAGAAGCAGCCGAAGCAGCCACGTTTATGGCCAACTAAAACTGAACAGCGGCCCCAGAAGCAGACCCGAACGGGCATAACAGAGGCAGCCCCGGCCAAGACCTGGCCAGGGCACAGTAGTGACACATAGTCCATCATCTGCATTCCACCCATTGCCAGGACCTTTGTCTTTCTGTCGCATCACAAACAGGCAAACAAACAATAGCAACAACACCACGAGGCAAAGGCAAAAGAAAAGGCGGAGGCTGAGGAGGAGGAGGAGGAGAAGGAGGAGAAAGAGCAAGAACACCACTAAAGGCGGCAATAAAAAGTTTGCTTTGTTTCTGGGTGTCGACACATTCTTGCTTTGCTCTCTGGCCAAAACGCCTACCCTCCTGTTAGCCAGAAAACCAAAAACGGTGTCGTCCTTGTCAGCCGCCTCTGGGCACTCAATTAGGCCCAATTCAACGCAACTTGAAAGCAACTACAGCAACAATAGCAACATCAGGAGGAACATCAACAGCAGAACCAGTGAAAGGAGCAGGAGCGGGAGCAGGACAGGCATCAGCAGGACCAGGAGCATTAGAGCAGTGAAGCGACCACGCCCACGCAGGGGCCGGCACACAAAAACGGCGACACCAATCTGACTACAAGTGACAACGCCCACAAAAGGTGGGGCGTGGGGGGCATCGAGTTGATGCCACAATGAAACTGAGCGTGAGCGCGTATCGGGCGCATGCATCCGCACACAAGAAGATCCTCTCCAGCGGCTATCACTCACAGCTCAATTACGGCAGCACTGGAGCAGCAGCATCATCCTCGTCGTCGGGGGCCACTGCAACGGGCCTATATACGGTGAGTATACCTACCCACCCGACCCTTATCCGTGTCTATGCCTCATTCTGTTTACCATTTGCCATCTGTAACCATTTTTGCTGCGGGACAAACATAAAACATAAAGTTTAAACATTTTTGATTATGGTTTTTACGGTTATGTCCTTGGTGGCTATATTTTTTGATATTGGTATTGCTGCAGTAGGGTATTCGATGATTGGGGCTGGGCATATTCATTAAGATATAGGCAAGACAAGACCTTAGAGTGATGGAATCACTCTTGGCCAAGTCGCCCAATGAATCTATGAAGTTCTTTAATATAGTTCCACCGAAATGTGTTTCAAAAAATTACATTAGTTTTCCTCTGACCTTATTGTTACGCCTGCAATGCATTAAAGCAGAGATTTAATGCAGTTTCACAAAGAGATCCAACAGTATTCCTAGTAATTAGGATTTCAAGCCACCCAGTGCAATAAAAAAATTCCTGTGAAATATTTTTCAAGGAGATCAGAACGGATTTTCTTGGAACTCTCGCAGCAAATCAGAGCATTTACCATTCGCTCCAGATGTCCCCCTGTTGATGTCGCACTGATGAATCGAGGGCGCCATCAGGCCAAATTGTAAATTATTCAAAAGTTAATAAAGAAAACCAACCACCCTTCGAGCCTACGTCATAAAAAATTTGATTGTGGCTGCAATTTGTGTGGTCCTCGCTACACCCGTGCCCGTAGCCAGGGCCACATCGACATTGTCCTGCACATAAGCCGTGCAGGAAATCGGAACTGCTCCTCATATCGCATCGTATCCGACTTGTCATTGCCTAATTAAAGCGGAGACCATGGGGACAACATGAGCAGGAACCCCGGACAATTCACTTTTTAGCCCATAAAACTTTCGGTCATAAATATTTATGGAATCCCCTTTTTGGGGGAGCTCAGCTCTGCTCCGACACAGACACAGACCCGCATTCAGCACCAGAATGTGAACCACAATAAATTCCAATCAAGTTTCGTGCCACATACAATTGGGATTTCCCTGGGTTTGAGTGGAGCTTAATCTGGCACTGAACCGATTTGTCAGCTAATTGGTGGGAGCGGCATACAAATCCCGATAGATATGTTATGTGGTCTCCCCCTCTCTATTTAGAACGAATGCCAAATTGAAACTCTTTGCCGGATTAACGCCAGTTATGTAACGGACACACACAGACATAGGGACAGCCCCAAGGACACTGGCAATCTGTCCCAATGGACGAATCGAAGCTCAGCTCTTAAGTTTACCGCACATGAGCTGCGGCTGGTACTTACCCAAGTACTTTGGCGGCATGCCCCGAACTTGGGGGTAAATTTCTAATGGGTTAGAGGACAAGTTCTCCGAACACTGACCCAATCAAAGTGTGCGAAAAGGTTATCATTGCCACAGTTACGCAAAGTTCGGAAAGTTGTTTACACAGACCAACCTTTGATTTCCGATGCTTATTGGAATCCAGATCGCTAGTTAGTGTTCGCTGGAGAGGGAATTTCATATAAATTTTACCTTTGGTAAAAGATACCAGTAGCTGGAAACACGAAACAGGCTTCTGATTCCAATCACGTAAGACGCTGTGTGACAGTGTAGACTATTGTGGCTTTAATAAATGCTTCCTATTGGCTTATTTCATTTTGGGGACTACTTTCTGTAGCTGTGGAGAATACACCAATATGAAATCAATTAATAAATTTGATGAATCGAAAATTGAAATACATTTCTTAACAATTAAAGCTTGAATTCATATTCGGTTTTGCGGTTTTTTACTTTACTCTCACGTCCGCAAGGAATTTCTGTTTGATCTCTTCAAGCTTTGAATCGATAATAAACGTCATTAGCTCATCGCAATTCTAGTACCAACCCTCAGTCGGTTGCTACGGAAATATATGAACCAATTCTGACCGTTTCTTAAGAGGAATTCTGAGGAAACACTTGTACTCGTAGCTGCAGCGGACACATGTTAGCCACTTCCTTCTCTTGGGGAAACTTATAAACAATTCATCAGAAATAAATTGCCAACTGATTTCAGGCCAATTTTATCCCAAAAGCTGGGTTTTTACTCTGATTTTCTCAGGTACCTATGTACACATAACTTCCAATAGCTACCGGCTCTGATCTGCCGAATGCGAGTACTCTTCAATGCCCGCCTGCAACTTTTCTCAAGTCACCAGCCATTCCCCCGCTCCACAATTGTTCTGGTTCACTACCCTGACCACCGCACACCTGAAGGTCGAGACGACTGTGGAGCTTCAATTGAGGAAGTTGTCGTGTCGGCAGCAATGAGATACATTATTAAGTATCGGCATGCGATTTATAATGCACCATCGAGGCCAAGCGGGAAATGGCTCTGAGCACTGGGTAGATGTAGATGTTTAAAAGCTGATGCTGAAACAGTTTCTGATGCTGTTGCTGTGTCTTGAATATTGCATTTGTTGTCAAATTGTCTGCACATAACACTTGCCCCGGGCCCATTTGCAGGCAAATTTGCATAATAAGCAATAAGGATGCGCTCAATTGCACATTCACACATGCACACTGGGGCACTGGCACCCTGGCACCCTGGCACCCTTCTACCCTGCCACCATGGCACACTTGCACACACATCGGACAAACACATCGATGTGATGAACCCAATTAATATAATCGACTTATTCTCTGAATATAATCCTCTTTAATCGGCAGATGGAAACGCACGATCACGAGCACGGCGCTGGAAAGTTCGTCAAGGATGTGGCACGCCAGATTCACGACTGCAACAGCGACACGGATGTCATAAGTCCAACGGGGACCAGTAGCTCTGGCGGTGGGGCTGGCGGGGCCAGCGGTGTTGCCGGTGGTGCTGCCGCCGGCGAAAGCTCTGGCGGCTATCACAAGCGACACCATAAGATGGCCCATGACGATGACAACCACAGTGCGCCGCATTCCTCGGATAGCAAGAGTCCCAGTCAGAGGTAAGTTCAGGCCACATATAGGCACAAACAAAAAAACACACATACACACACAAATAAACACCCACACACACACACACACATACTCGTAAACATTGACACGTGCATAACTGTAAAATAAAACTTGAAAGCATAGGCGATGGAAGGAAAGGGCAGGAAAAGCAACAAAGATGATTTATTCAAATCGCCGGCCGTACAAAGTTGTTACGACAAACACATGAACATAATCTGGCAAACACGAACATACTCATGCTCACAGACATCCATTCACACCCACACACATGTAGACATTGCGTTTACATATACATAGAAACGTGCAGTAAGCGTAATTGATAAATGTGTAGCATACTTTGTTGGGCTTCGTTCAACCCGCCTCGCCACGCCTCGCCACTACTTGCCAGCTTGGCAGCTTTTTGTATTTGATCAACCGTAAGCCACATTCACAGCCGTATCCGTATCCGTATTCGTATTTCGTATTCTTAACCGAAAAAAATCAACAACAACAACAAACTTGATTCAATTAAATCTAATTAGTAATTAGCTAGCACCAGCCCCCACCCAAGGGCGTACGTACACTCGTACATTTGTACAACATGAATATTTTTGAGATTGGAGCTGGAGTTGACACTGGAATTAAAGGAGCAGAAAGGGATGGGGGACAGGGACCTGGGACCTGGGACCGGGTGTAACATCAAAAGTTTTCAGCTCGGGTTCTGGTTAACCTAATCAAAAGTCTTGGATCTGCAAAGTAAGAGCTATACACAGATACAGTGCGTTTCTTAGCTGACAGGAAAACATACTTGGAACATAAAAGGACTAACTGATGAAGTAGGGCGACTATTGATGAATAATTTGATAGCGGACAAAGTATTTGGAGCTTAACCTTCTTTCAAAAAGTAGTTCTCTTCATTTGAGAACATCATTAAATACATAAGCTTCTTGGGTAATCCCTTTCATCGTCATTGATTTATTATTTTGATTTACATTGTTTTAATTAAAAATTACTTCAAGTATCTAATAGCCGAATATCTTTTTGATTACTCAGATTATTCGATAAGCGAGTAAATTCAAAAACTGAGCAATATTTGAGGCATTTATCTAGGTGCATAGGTGCCAGTTTTGCCTTACAGCGCTCAAACGCACTGTATGTGTAATGTTGAGACTGCGGCCTCAACTTTTTATGTTTTTGCAGTTGAATGAAGCTGTCGCAAAGACAGCCACACACACGCACACACACAGACAGACAGACAGACAGGAAGAAACGTGGACAGGAACAGGAACAGGGGCAGGATAACTTTTGTTTGTGTTTATTGTGGTGACAAAAGGGAAATTAGCAATGACAATTAGCCGGGATTGCCCATGTCCGTGTCTCAGCCTGTGTGTGGGTGTGTGTGCTTGTGCATGGTTTCATTAATTAACTGAGACAAGAATGAGAGAGTCAAACAAGGCCAAGAGGAAGAGTTACTGTCCCAGGAGACACATACACGGAGAGATTCAGTAAGTTAGTAACTCTTTGCGGCTACTGCTGTGGCTACTCATGCCCTAATAGACCATCTCAATTGGGGTTAATCTCCTTAAACACGGCCACTCAGCTCCACTCCAACCACGGCATACAGATACTCGTACTCGTAAACCGAAACCCCACTGCCACCAACACCACCACCAGCAACGAACAGCAAAAGTTAATCAGTGTAAGAACTTCTTGCATCGCATCACCTGGATCGCACACGGATTTAGATCGGCCAGCTCGTCCCAGATGGCTTGTGGCTGCGCACACAGTAGTTTAGGATACACAGAGAAGGATAGACTTATAGTGACGCCGGGACAGGGACAGCGGCAGCAGCATCCACGCCAGCGCCGCCAGGTGCGTCTTCTTCAGAACAGTCCGTCCTCCGACCAGAGCAACGGCACATTGGTGGCACAGCGCCTGATCAACTCCGGCAGCAGCACCAAAATGAAGACGCTCTCCTCCTTCATCAGCGAGCATCCCGAGGAGCTGGCCCAGCAGTGTCGCGTCCAGGCCAACCCCAACGCCACTGGCAATGGGAATGGCCAGCAGACGACGAAGTGGAAGAGCCTCAGGGCCGTGATGGCTTACTACTGCTCACTACGACGCATTAAAAGGAATGTTGCTCACTAACATACTATCCATATACTCGTGCATATATGCGTATATACCTACAATATCTGTTTAACTGGAGATTCAAGTTTTTCTAGCGTTATCTAACCTATGTTTTTGTGTGTGTGTAAACTCTCTTGCATTGTGTGCGTGCGTGCGTGCGTGCGTGCGTACGCACGTGTGTGTGAGATAATCCCCCTTCTTGCTCACCCTCCACAGAAAATAATCGTAAAGTCCTTGATATGACCCTCGATACTAACTAACCGACTAACTCTCATTGATCGCTCTCTCTCTCTCACACATACACACACACTCTTTGTCTCTCTCTCTCTCTGTCTCTGTTACTAATTACTAACCCGATCTTATCGTAGTGTATGAACCTATGTGTAACTATCTATATATCTTATATATCATTGATGTGTAAGCGAATGCCAGACCTCTCTCAAAACTCAACTCAACTCTAATCCAAATCGCTCGTTCGCCTGCTCGCTCATTCGCTAACTCTTTCCCTCAGTCCATCATTAGATCTGTTCATTTTTCTCTGTGTCTCTATTTCTCCCACTCAATATTCTAGGGCTATAGGGCGGTACGGTTAAGTCTTGTCAAAGAAACAACAATAAACATTCAATTTCAAGGAAGTCCCTTCGGATGATGCTGCCTTTACGCGGTTTTTAAGGGGTTTTCATAGGTGTGGCAAAGCATTGGACAGATATTTGTTTAACCATATGAATAATACCTTATTTAATGAGGGAGGTACATACATACATAGCTCTGTAGTTGTAGTTCAGGGTGAGCTTAAACTCTAACTTAAGCTCTAAAGAACTCTAAACTCTATAACTTTCTCCACACACTCTCCCGGTGGGAAGAAAACTTAATCTATTAATGGTTTCATCAGTGTTGAAAAGCACTTTTCAGAAATTTACATAAGTTAATCAACACAGTGCATATTACAAGAGAGAAGGCACTGTATTATTTAAAATTTGCAGGTACTGAGAATATAAATTACCTAAATTTTCAACTCCAAAACTTGAAAACTTTCTTCACACACTCTCTCGCTTAATCAGTGTTGAAAAGCGTTTCGTTTGTCAGAAATTTACATAAGTTCTTCAAGCATGCACATGTCCTGTACCATGTATGTGTACAAGCGGTAGCACTGTATTATTTAGAGAGAAGAGAAACGATTTTGGCTCAGGATTAAAGGAATTTCAGCACGCAACTTTAAAACTTTCTCGTTGCTCTATAGGGATTTACTTGTTTGATAAGTGTTGAAAAGCGCGTGACACAAATTTGCATATATTAAGCATATGCATAATATATGTATGCATGTATTTCTCATGTGGCGGAGGTAGCACTGTATTATTTGGAGGGGAGCAAAGGTGTCAGGGCCGGGAACACTCCACTCGTACACTTAACCACTTTCTGTTCTAGTTTCGGTTCATTTTTGGCAAGGGGAAACTTAAAAGTTTACCCCACCTAAACAAGTTGATGCCAAGCTGAGGCAAGCACACACAGATACAGAACTTACACACAGATACACACGTGCACTGACATGGCATGACAGTGTAAAGGGGCAGAAGAAGCAGAAGAACTTTTGCTTGAAAAATCTCTGCAAACAGCAAAAGTTAAAGTGGCTTTTGTTTGTGTGAGAAGAGAGAGTGTGTGTATGTGCGAATCGATATGTTTAAGCTGCCGCTGGCTGCTACTGGCTGCTGCCTGCTGGCTGCAATGTAGGCGAACTTTTGACACAAATACACCAACACACAGATACACACACACATAGTACAGAGAGAGGAGCATTCAACATGCGCCTATGCATACGCCACAATGCTTGCTGTATGCCGCTTGCCGTTTGCAGCTTGCCGCCTGCCGCCTGCCGCCTGGCATTGTGCATACCGAATGGGAAATTGCCTTCTGACTGACAACTTACAAAGAATTTGAATTTGGAAAATTGCAAATTTATGTAGAAGCCAAGGGAACACACTGACTCAGACACAAATACACTCCGTACCAGAGAAGGGGGAACCCTTGGAAGACCAAAATCTATGCAGTCTTCTTTGAATCCGCCACTGAGTCCTGCCTCAACAAAAGAAAAAGGGCAGTGCCTGCATATGCATGACATCTCACTGCCCCAGTCTCGGCGGATCCATTGCCCCATTGCCCCTTATTGTCCCATTTCCACATTCACCTTTTTCCCCTCTCTCAATGTGGCTCTCTCTCTCTCTCTCTTAAGAGAGAACTTGTGGTTAGGTAATTCCTTTACAAGTTACTTTGATTCGCAATCAAATGCATTGTTCGATCTGTCGTCCGTCGGCAATTGTGTTTTGATTTCAAGCTACTTGAGATGCTGCTCACTTCTGCCGTGTGGCACAGGTACGAGTACATATACTCGAATAGAGATGTGTTGAGTTCTTAATGGGGAATAAATCAATCTAACAGTTCAAGCATTGCATCTAACTATTTATACACTCGGGTCACTAGGCTACACATGCATGTATGCGTCGATGTCGATGTGCAGTTGAAAGTTCAGGAATTAAAACTGTCCGAATTGGGAGCGGAGTTCAGTCAACTGTCCGTTTAGCTGCCAGTTAACGTATAATTGGACATTGATAAATTGAAAGATATTTTAAGTGAGCCCAACTCCAACGCCAACAAAATGTAACGATCATTTTCACTTCGCCTGAAAGGTGAAGCACTGCAGGCTAAAAGCCTTAATAAGTTAATTGTGCCTAAGCCATGTTGTATGTGGGAGCTAAATAATTACAGGAAAACTACACCGATTCCATGACTTTAGAGCAGCAAATACCCGTAGAAATAGCAATATTGGAGTATAGGAAAATGAGGCAACAAAACAAAGGGCTTTTTCTGTAGGCTCCAGCCGAAAGCGAGTTTAAGTGAAATTAGATAGTGAATCAGATCCCAAATCACAGCCAGAACAAGGCAGAGGAATGTGGTGGCATATGTTTTGTGGCATCCATGACCACAGTCAAATGGTGTCCCCAGTCAATGCCAACTCCGGGCAGGGCAGGAAGCGTTCAGAGATTTCCCTCATGATGGCTAGATGAGTCGGCGGAATTTTTCAATTGTTGTTTCATTTGATGCCAGTCAAGTGGTGAACCGAACGCGATTGTTGGAAACATTCTGGCTGGTCATGGTTGCAGCCTGATAGCCGCACGACCGCGCAGCCAAGCTGGCCCCCAGGCGTTAATTGAAATCCGGCTTAGAAACTGAGGCCCGAACCCGGCCCGTTCAGGGTCCCACGAAACGTCCAAAACTCGGACATCATGCAGCCATTAAACAATAACAATTTTACTGAACCGCACACATGAACACACACACGAAATAGGACTAATGCGGGAGAGTCCTTTAACATTTTGTGGATGATTTGTGGTGCAATAAAGCAGGCCATTTAATAGGGCGAATGGAGACAGAGACTGAGACTAAGAATGAGACTGAGACTAAGACCAAGACCGAGCCTCGAGAACCTCTTTAACCTTTTCGAACCAAAAATCGAAAACGAAACGAAACGAATAGGAGAAATTGGGAAAAGCTCATTCCCAATTTATATTAAATCGAAAGTCCACAAATGGTTCAGCTGACCCCAAAACAACAATGGGGTCACCCACACGCACACTCCTCCGCTCACATGGGGTATAATCTTATCGTGCAGCAAGCCTTTTTCCGCTTGGCTGGTGGGTAAAGGAAGGGAAAGGTTGGAATGAGATGGTATGGGATGGGATGGGATAGAAGGAAGTGTTCTCGGATGGTTTCCGGAATGGGTCCTGCGATGCCCTGCATTGGGGGCCCGCATATCAGCCAAGGGCCAAGTCAAACAAGTCCGCCAAATGGATTGTCTATCTTGCGGGCTTGGGTGTATGTTTGTCTCCCTTTCTGTGTGTGTGTCTCTCTCTCTCTCTCTCTCTCATTCACTCTCTCTATCTATATATATATATATCTATCTATCTGTCTGTCTCTCTGTGCCAATCTATTTCTATTGAATTCTCTCTCACTTTGCCTCAAAACATTACAAACAAAATAAAACAAAACAAAAAAAAATGAAAATGATACGATAAAAAAAAAAACAAACAACAAATATATGTTAAACAAAAACCAAAAATACGAAGAAACAAACCAAAAATGAAAAACTTTGGAAACTCGTTTAGGAAATCGCGTATCGGAGATGGAGCTTCAGATCCAGATTCCGATTGGTAAGTTTATTTTCTTGTGTTCCTTATGATTTTTGTCGGTTTTGTCTCTGCACACATACAAACACAAACGCAGAAACTAATGCAAGACACACACATATAGACAAACGAAGCCATATACACACTCACACATAGACATACACATATAGAATAGACACAGCTAAGCTTTGCTCATTCTTTTCATTTGGTTATACTTTATGGATTATGATAATGATGCTGCTGATGATGATGATTATGATGATGATGATGATCGGCATGTGCGCGCTTTGCATTTTGAATAGGCAACAAAAGAAAACCAAGATATATATACATATATATATATATACAAGAATATACATATATTGAGAGTTGGGTTTTTGGTGGGGCGCCATTTGGTAACGACGAGCCAACCCCTTTCTCCAGAACCGAAAACTCCTCTCAACCAGCACCAGAACCAGAACCAGACCAAGAACCAGAACCACACCTTGTATAAAGCCTCAGACAACAGAAAACACCCAAACACACAGAAAGAACCACACCAAACACCACACACAAATACTGATACTTGGCAACCACACCTATAGCTATCATAGTTTTCCTTTGATTTATCTTTCGTTTAGCCAACTGCATTGCTACCAATCGCTTTCTTTTCTCGTACCTCATCGTACCACATGACGTATGCGTAATCACTTAGCCAACGCTGTAAATAGTACAACAAAAGCGTAGAAAACCAGCCAACGATTAACCAAAACCAAATGCAAATGCAAAAACCAAAAAAAAAACCATAAATAATACAATGCAAACCTTAAACATAAAACGATATACATTTATTCCGTAGCTTGGCATTTGCTATGCTGAATGAGAATATTAAACTGTGCATAAATTAAGCGAACACAAACAATTAACCAATCAGCAAGAAATCAAATTTGAATGTACATAGGCCATGTATATACTCGTATATCGTATATAGAAAAATAAATTGTGTACATCATGCAATAGCAGAACAGACGATTGAATGGCGACCTTGAGCGGCTTGAGCAAAAGTTTAAAGTGGTAAAACCTCACCCAAACCCCGTCAATCCCTACCCGAAAGCTCCGATTCCCCCCAAGTATCCCAAGTAGTTGTACGCTAGTCCTAGATCGAGTCTGTAGATAGTGAACAGTAATGCCCTTGCAGGGAATAGTTTTTCGATCAAACGGCAGGCTCTGCAATCAGTATGTTGTCTGACTGTCTGCTATAATGGAACTATTTGTGGACAAGTGAAAGCCACTGACATTTGTTTATCTTAAGGTCAAAATAATCATGCGAGAATAGCTAGTACTTTCAGATTCCATAGTTGCTCTCAAAGTTGTAGTAATTCTTGTACACGTCCTCAATGTTGTTAACTTAATAGCTTGAAAACAATGTGGAATAACTTGGCTTACGTTTACAAACATTCCAGTTGATACCCTCTGGCACCTGCTAAAGAGCATGGTTGAAAGATTTTTCCGACCTTGCAAGGGTATACGAAGCCTCGGCATGCCGTAGCTAGCCTAACTTCCTTTCTTGTCAGCTTTTTAGTTTTTTAATTGAGAAATAAAGTTTTCAGTTTCATTGGATTTCCGCTGAAGGGTAAAAGTGCTGCGAACACGAAGCCTGCCTAACAATTCACCTGGCCGACAGCTTTGCAGCACACATTTTCCCACAGCTATTCGTACTCGTACAATAAGTGCTATTTATATCGAGAGCGAAAAGTTGTTGGCCGCTTGCCTCGAATTTCCCTTTCCCCCAGCTCTTCTCAACTTCCGCCCAGCCCCCACTATACCCCATTTCTCTCTCAGTCTTTCGCTCTCTGTCTGTCTCTGCCTCGCGCTGCCGCTGCTGCTTCTCAGAAATATTTTCCAATTGCAATTTTCTTGTTAATTTCTTCCTGTGGATTGCATAACGTCTCTGATTGCTATTTCCTCTGGTTTGATTTGATTTCCGTGGAATGCCTTTGCTATCTGCACTCACAGACATTCAATCTATAATGTTTAATCTTTTATCTTTTATCTATCAAATCTGCGATTCTCTAACTTTTGCATGCCTGCTTGCTCTATTGCACCATCCATCTGTATCCTTCATCCTACTTGATCCACTGTTTTCCCTCTCCTTGCTTGTTGCGTGTTTTGTTCGTTGTGTTTCCGTTTCATCTTACTGTTAGCATTACCGTTACAGCTATCGTTACCGTTACCATAGCCGTTGCCGTTGCCGTTGCCGTACGTTAATGTTGCGTGCCTTTACGTTACGGCATTTTGGGTTCTCCCACCTCCTAACCGTTTGAATGTTTGCCTTGCCACTAAGTATCCGTAGCCGTAGCCGTAACCGAACCTGTATCATATCCGTATCTGTAACCGTACTCCGTCATCAGCAATAGCATAGCGTAAGTGTTTGATGTCTCGTGTTACGTACCCGTAAGTGAATGCGTATGAATACGTATGTGTGCGTTCCCCGCACTTCCAGCACCTTAGCGTAACGTGAGCGCACGCTTAGTTGGAATGCCCCTTCAGTTGCGCCCTTCGCCTCCTAGAGGTACTCGTACTCGTAGCTCATTTCCGTTTCTTAGCTACTGTAGTTCGATGTGTGAGACAATCCCTATCGCGAATCCCTAGGGGGGATATCGTTTTATGATCCTAATTGTATGCTCTCTCACTCCTACGCCAAACAGGACACGATCGAACCAGCGCTGGATGAAGCTACGCACCACCGTGCAGATCTCGTCGGCGATACAGAAAAAACCACCGCTCAAGCGCGAAGACTCCTTCCTGAAGCGTTTCTCGACTAGACAGATACCCGAAACACAGGTGAGAATCGCTCGCGGGTCGCACACACACACACACACAATGCCATTAATTGGAGGATAAATACTAAACATGGGGCTTTGCAGGAAACTGTTGAAGATACGGGTTCAGAAAGTGCCTCTGGTGACGTCGACAAAAGTGTTAAACGTAGACGACGCTATCTGCAGAAACGACGATCCGTTGTTAATCCAGATGAAAATTTTTACTTCTATTGGCTAATGATGGTAACTGTATGTGTTCTATATAATCTATGGACCCTAATTGTGAGGCAGAGCTTTCCTGAACTGCAGGTGAGTCTTATCTGTCACATCAGACAGTTACCTTTACCTTTACCTTTACAATCCCCATTCTCCATTCAGTACTCTTCCTTTTTGCCACTCCCCCAGCCCTCAGATCCATCAGTCAACCTTCTAAAGGTGGTCCAGACAGACCTTTGTTCGCCTTTGTGAAAGCCAACACCCTTTTGTCATTACGCTTAAAGAGTTCTGTGTAATGCGAGTTGCCTCGCTGTCCCGGTCGCTGCCCCCTCTAGAGTGGGGGTACATTTCCACAGCCAGTGGACTTGGTCGCAGTCCATGGAAGATGTCGGACGAAGGGTATTCCGTAGTTACTTCACCAACCGTGTGAGTGGCGCTGGGGGTGGTGAAAAGTTATCCGTTTTTTATCTGTTTGTTCCCGCTCTTTGGCTTGTAATGACTCAATTATAAGACACGCAGCCAGGCCTGGGCAAATGTTTGTTTATGGCCCAGTTAGCTGGTGTTTGTCATCAGATTAGAGGTGGCTACGACTATGACTATGGCAAACAAAAGTCGGGTCTTAAGCTGACCTTTATCCTGGCCACAAAGGCCCGCAGTTGTGGCTACCGTTGCCTGGACAGGCCTTTCCCCTGGCAATTGTCAACTACAGCCCAGATGGGGCCTTGAATAATTGCCCTTGACCACGTTAAACCGAAAGGGATGATTTTTTGTTTCTCTATTTTTAATTCACTAATTATCTGCTTTCTATTTTCGGACGGACAGCAAGCTGTGCCTACCTTTTGGCTTATCTGCGATTCGATGACAGATGTTGTATTTATCTTAGATATAATAGTTCAATTACGCACAGGCTATCTGGAGCAGGGCCTAATGGTGAGCGGACCTTTACTCCGGACCCTTAATAAGAATAACCCCTCTAACCGCACCCTTCCTTTTCCAGGTATATGATGACAGGAAGCTGGCCTGCCACTACGTTCACTCGCGTGACTTCATCTTCGACATGATAGCGCTGATACCATTGGATCTGCTGCAGCTCAAGATGGGCACCCATCCGCTTTTGCGTTTTACGCGCTTTTTTAAAGTGAGTTCCGCACCCGCACAGAGCTGGGGCGAAAACATTAGGGCACATGTTAATCTCATTTTTCTGCTTTCCATTTCTTTTTGAAGGTTTATCGATCTGTGAGATTTTATTACATCGTAGAGAGTAGAACAGTTTGGCCAAATTTATGGCGCGTTGTTAACCTAATTCATATCCTGTTAATATTGGCACATTGGTTCGGTTGCTTCTATTTTTTACTCTCAGAGGCGGAGGGTTTCCAGGTGAGTGCAAGACCATTGGCATTGCCATTCGCACTCCTCACAGTGATTAACCGTCCGGTTCTGCGTCATATGTTCCAGGGTGATTGGGTCTATCCTTACAGGCCGGGTGACTATGCCACCCTCACGCGGAAGTATCTGGGCAGCCTCTACTGGTCCACCCTGACGCTGACCACCATCGGGGACCTGCCGACGCCCGAGACGAATGCAGAGTGAGTACGGCAGCGATCACATGGTATACCATAGTATACCATGCCAGTCGAAAGACACAAATTCTGATCGGGGGTTGGGTTATGTTCTTGCGGGTTCTGCTCTCATTTCGAATTTGTCTTTAAATGCACCGAATGTACAAATCAGACCGAACTTTTCGGTGGACGGCCCAAGATCAATACCTAGACGTGGCATTAAATCACGCCTGCTTCAGTTTGGCTCTAGCTATGGGTATGATCATCAACTAAAATTCATCTAAATCACATCTATACTCTAAGCAAAGTCAATCAAATCGTATCAAATATCATGCAATTTGTTTTGGGGGCTGTCCACCGATTCGTCTTCCTTGGTGTTCTAGTTCTAATTCTGACTGATCTGTTGCATTCTCTTCAAATATTGACATCGAAGTTTTCGAAAGCGTGCGACAGCCTAGAACAATTTCATTGATATTTATTTGCATCGCCAAAATGTAGAAAAATACTTTGCAAACATAAATACAACAATTTTCAACTGCATTCAGCTTTCGAAAACTTTGATTGATCTTGCCAATAAAGTGTGTATATGAATATTATATGAATGAGAGACGGAGAAATTATGAAGGTTCAGATGGACTTCTTTTTTTGGTGAAATAAATATCAGCATTCCTTTTTCAATTTCTCTCTCTCTTACACGCATATGATACTCTCCTAAATACATTCCGTTATGCTAACTGATTGAAATCTGATCGGCTGATCTTCTCATTCGCAGATATATTTTTACGATCGTCAGTTATTTGATTGGTGTTTTTATCTTCGCGACAATTGTTGGCCAAGTGGGCAATGTGATAACGAATCGGAATGCGAATCGTCTGGAGTTCGAACGTCTGCTGGATGGGGCCAAGACCTACATGAGGCATCACAAGGTAGCTTCATTACTCCGTTCACACTTCCCTTCGAGCCTTCCTCCTACTGGTATCAATCCGTGTGCTTTCAGGTACCAGGTGGGATGAAGCGTCGCGTGCTGCGATGGTACGACTACAGCTGGTCGCGGGGGCGGATACAGGGTGGCGGCGACATCAACACAGCTTTGGGCCTGCTGCCCGACAAACTGAAAACCGAATTGGCCTTACACGTGAACCTGAGTGTGCTGAAGAAGGTTACCATATTCCAAGAGTGCCAGCCGGAGTTTCTGCACGATCTCGTGCTAAAAATGAAGGCTTACATCTTTACGCCGGGCGACTCCATCTGCCGCAAGGGTGAGGTGGCCCGCGAGATGTTTATCATCGCCGATGGAATCCTGGAGGTGCTCAGCGAAACGGGCAAGGTGCTGACAACAATGAAGGCTGGCGATTTTTTCGGCGAGATCGGCATCCTCAATCTGGACGGGCTAAACAAGTGAGTGCTACAATTGAGGAATCCATGATGATATTTTGACTCATGAATCATCTATACTAAAGGCGCACTGCGGACGTTCGTTCTGTGGGCTACTCGGAGCTCTTTTCGCTTTCTCGCGAGGATGTACTGGCAGCCATGAAGGACTATCCGGATGCGCAAGAGATCCTCCAGACTCTCGGACGCAAGCGTCTCATGGAGGTGCGTTGCGTGAACAAGAAGTACGCGAAGGCGGCGCTCGAAAAGGAGAACGCGGCCTACGCGGCGGCCCATCCGCACCACCATCAGGCCCATCACCAGGGACAGGTGCACCAGAGCGATAGCAGCGAGAACAGTGCATCCAAGAAGATTGTGGACAAGCTGAAGCACGATGTGAAGGGTTTTCGTAATGTGCTGAAGAAGTCCAGGTGGGATTTACCCCAGCACCAAACGAAGTTACTCCCTAATTTCTCTCTCATGGGCAGAACCTCCCGGAAGAGCGACGAGTCGCTGGAGATGCAACCGCTGCACAACACCTCGCCGCGCGGCAGCAAGATCATGCTGAAGCGCATGTCTCGCGTACGGTCAGACGAGAAGGACGCAGACACCGCCGATGCCAAGGACGAGCTGCACGACAAGACCCCCAGTCCGATTGGGGCCGGGCTCCCATTGCTGCAGCGTTTGCGGCTGCTCAAGGAAAAGCAGGTAAGGACACACCTCCCACCGCCAGATGCCACTGACCACCAAACAGCCACCACACGCAACTCACTTTTTCTCTCACCACTCGCCACCCAGCCAGCAATGGTTCATGATGCATCATCCACATCCCCATCCACATACACATTCTCATCCCACACCTACATCCAGCAAGCTTTAAATGGTTTTTCTTCACAAATAAAACAAACGCATTGAATGAACAGCTTGACAAATGGAAAAACAGCACAGACAAAGCCACAGATACATACACCCAAAGATACAATTACAGACGTTGCTACAGATACAGTTACAGATACACACCAGTTCCAGTTGTATCCAGTTGTATCTGAGACGCTTCCTCAATTACTTCTAGTTGCTCATTCATGTGTGTTCCATTGTAATGCAGTTGTTAGTGCACCTTCAAAATCAAAACCAAACTCCACCCAAATCAATGTTTTAGCTTTATCTTAATCTTCATTCTTGTAATTAGCAGCACGTTATGCAAGCCAAGCTTCAATCAATTAAGAAACAATTGCAGGAAATAAAACGAGTAATTATGCAGCTGATGTTAAGGGGAAAAGTCCGCATTATTGGGATATTTATTAGTTTGCATTATATTTAAATGTTTTCAAATTTAGTGACAACAGAGGTTCTCCCCAAAAATATTACCCCGCAATTATTATTCTGGCATCCGGAATTCCAATATATGAAGATTGACTTCCAACTTCTCCGGACAGACATCTTTATTTTCTTTAGTGGGTCTGTGTAATGTTTTATGTTTCAGCGACACACTGCTTAATTTCTCTTGGTAATGGGAAATTAACTTCTTCATGTTTAGTCCATAAACTTCTTACAGCAACGCACTGCTTGATCTGCGTCTTGTGAAGGGGAAATAAAATGCTTACGATTTTGTTTATGAACTGCTTTTAGAGTCGTGCTGCTTGATCTCTTGCTTGTGAAAGGGGAAATAAACTGTTTGGCCGCAAAACTGCTTCTTGGATAGTTTCAAGAAAAAGCGAACCGCACTTTCAGGTTTCAGTCACGCACTGCTTGATCAATTTCGTTGTGGAAAGGAAAATGAACCAAAGCTTCAGGTTTAAACGAATAAAACTGAGGTTTCAGCGTTCTGGACACTTTGGATGACCTCTTTCGGAGTAAAAATACGTTTTTAGTATCCCAAATATAATCTTATTGAAAAATAATGAAATAAATTGGAGTTAAATAATAACAATAATTTAACGCTCCCACCTATTTTCGGAATACAAGATGTATGTATGATATTACTCATCTGTAGGTCCTCTAACATTACTATTCTGATTACTTTTTTTTGGCTGGATGACTATGGCTACCCATAGTTGCGTTCCTGCTTGTGCTTATTACACGAATACATAACAGGCCACAACAAAATAAAAATAGATACAGGTGTAGGTATAGGTATAAGTACAGATACAGATACAGGAAGACACTCACTGACATGCCACATAATTCATAATTTCTTTGTACACACCACGCTTTTGCGTTGCAGGGCTATTATTTTATAGTTTTTTTTCTTTTATTTTGGTTTTGTTTAGCTTCCAAAATGCCCGCCCAATTATGAGAATCACCCAAAATTCGTGTTGTATGTAATTAATTCCCCGGCTCCTAAAAAGTAGTTTTGTATGTGTCTTTATGTGTCTTGCACTAGGATCGCGAAGAGCGAGCTGTTAAGTCCACACCACCACAGAAATCTCCACCTCACTCACATGTAACGTGTACGTTATCGCCGCAGGAATCGATACAGGAAGAGCCCGAACGAGAGTTCAACGAAGGCTTTCCCCTGATCCAGCGATTGCAGCAGTTGAAAATTAAGAACGAGCCGCAAGCGAACGCCGGAGGCGATTCCGGCCTCGTAATGGTAAAGCTTAAAAAAAACCAAACCCTGATCAAAACATAGATCCCGATAAACCAACCCCCAACCAGAACTCAGACAAACAATCCAAGACCATAAGCCACTTTTTGAGCCCTCACTAACATTTATAACTCTTTTTCTTTCCCTGCCTTTTGGTATTCCTGCCCCTTTCCCCTTACCGACTTGTCAGGTCAAGACGCCTCCCAGCATCAGCAGCAAAATTGACTTCGGAGGAGCGGCAGCAGCCGCAGCAGGATTGGGAACAGGACTCCCCTCGGGAAGTCAGCTGCTGACAGTCGCGCAGATCAAGCCCATCATGAAGGTTTCCTTCAAGCAGAAGATACAGCAAATGCAGGGCGGCGGGGCAAGTGGATCCTCGCCGGGTCCCAGTACCGGAGCGATAGCCAAGAAGGAGCCCCCCAAGTCGCTGGCTCTGATTGCCAAGCATGCTTCAACGTTGCCTCTACCACCAGCGATCTTAGCGGAGGAAACAGCATCGGGGGGTGTGGGATTGGGAGGGGGAGTAGGACCTGGCCAAGCCCTGGCCATAGCCACGATATCGAAGAAGGTGACCAAGCCGTCCTACAAGCTCAACACTCCCATGCAATCAGACACGGACACTGACGGCACGCCCATCTCCAAGCCCTGGTCCAAACTGAAGCTAGCGACGCTCATGTCCTCCAGCTACACGAGCCTTACCAACTGCTCGCCGGACGACCTGGCCACGCCCCTGAAAAACTACTCGCTGAGCAACATTCCGCAGCAGATGGAGGCCACCGCCCAGGCCCAGGCCCAGTCCCAGTCCCTGTCCCGTCCGCGTCACCACAGTGCCAGGAGCAGCTCCAGATCGCCCCGACACGCTCATGGTCATGGCCACAGTCATGACTCTACCAGCAACACCAGCTCTTCGGCCAGCCAGGCGAGCACCAAGCGGGAGTGCCTACGCCTGCAGAAGCCCGAGCAGCAGCTGCCGGATGGAGAACTGGCTGAGCCGCGCCGAAAGTTCTACCAGAGCGTGTTCGACCTGTCGCCGGAGTACAGTGGCCTGCCGTTTGTCAAGCGGCTGAAAATCCTCAACGAGCGGCAGAAACTAGCGGAGCTGGAGAAGGCCCTACAGACGCGCAGCTTCAGCCTGGACTGCTCCAAGTCCGACCAGGGAGGGAATCTGCCCATCACGGAGTCGCTCTATCGCTGCTACAGCGATACCTCCGGCATCTACTCACAGTTTCTCAGTGCCTACGAGTCCACCACCAGTTCCACATCAATATCGACCAATACATCCGCCTCGGCATCGGCCTCTGCATCAGCATCGGACACCGGTAACTCCCGGCATGGACAGATGCAGTACGTGCCGCTGCCCCTCAGTCCGGAATCGAATGAAACCGTCGAGCGTCGGAAGCTAAAAAGCATACTCAAGAAGCTGCAGAAGGGCGGTGGTCCCAATGGCGGAAGCGGTGGCAGCGGCAACGGCAGCGGAGGCGGCATCGGCGGAGGTGATGCCCAAGACGAGGCGACTGCCACAGTCACAGCCACGGCGCACGCGCATGCGTCGAGAGTGCTGCTGGCGGAGCCGACCTTGGAAGGGTACGTGGCTAGGCACAGTAAGCTCTTGAAGAGTGTAACGTTCCATTCAACTCTTTCTAGCCCGCCCGCCAGTGCCAAAGAGGAAGGTCAGTTCGCTGCCTTTGGCGGCGCTTCCGGCGTGGCCCATTCGCAACATTCGCAGCACGCGATCGTGTTAAGTCCGAGTAACGGTAACGGTAACGGTACCGCTAACGGTAACGGTAAAAATGCGTCTAATGGTAGCGGTAGCGGTATGGGTACCGTAGCTTTCTCTTCTAATCCGATGTATCCGTTTTCGATTCCGGTTGCGGTTCCACTTCCGGTTTCCGAGACAAACATATGGTCGCCGACGTTGACGTTGGTAACGCCAACGAATTCGCCCCAAGAGAGTTTCGCGTTCGAGCTGCAGCCCCAGAGTCAGTCTCAGCCGCAGCCGCAGCCGCAACCTCATCTCCAGTTCCCACCTCCACCTGTATTGGAGGGAACTGATAGCGACGGCATTGGCGGACTCGTTGCTGGCGTTGGCAGCGCCTCAACGTCGTCAGCCTTAGGAGCAGCGGCCTCATCATCACTCTTATCATTATCAGCAGCTGGAGCAGCAGGTGGAGCAGCAGCAACAGCGGCAGCAGCATCGACCTCATATGTCGTCGAATGCTCGTCGTCGTCGGTGTCATCGAAATCGAATCAGATACTCTCACAGAATACCGAATTTCATGCTCAATCCACAACATCCACAGATTTGAATTTGAATTTGCAGCTCAGACAGAACACCACCACCTCCACCACGAACAATGCGTTGGCTGGTGGCAGCCAGGGGCCCAGGCCCGAAGGTAAATATATCTGCTTCAGATCTAATCCGTTTTCCACCTCCACACAAATCAACATCAGCTACAACAACAGCAATTACTCGTACAACAAGCAGACATGTGTGAACTATAGCAACCAACGCAACGCTTTCAACCCCAACCGACACACAACTGTACTTTTGGCAATCTATCTATCTGTCTATCCATCCTTCTCTATGTCTATTAAACTCTATATTGTACTGTCCGTCTATCCCCCTTTACACACACAAACACACCTGTGCATGTCTGTTGCGGAGTGGTAACGCACACACAGAGACCTCAACAACAAGCTCTCCTGCTCTACTTCGCTCCTATGCTTTGCTATCCTTCTTCTCTTCTTCAAGCTACATAGAATCTCCTGTCTCTTTTTAAGTATATCTATCTTTATTCCTCCCTGCCTCGCCGTTGCATTTAACTGAATTATTACAAATTATTGCATGGAGGAAGCGCATTTTGAGCGAAGCTTAACGAGTTTCAATGCCACTGTTATAATTTAAACAATTTAATGATCCCTGCTTAAAGAACTATCATTGAATCGTAAATATCGAATATTTTAAACCCCTGGAGTATGACACGTAAAGTTGTGCAATTTTTCTCTTATTTTATCTTTAAGTTTAAATTTAAGAATCGCCTGCTCTGCTTTTACATATATATGCATATGTTCTTAATTTATATTGAAAAATGTACTTATAGAATATATGTTTGGAACCTTTCTGTAAATGTAGCATAAGTCTCTTTCATCACATAAGTACCAATTGCTGCAGTTTCCTGTGATGGTGTAAGAGCTTCCCATTCAACATATTTTGAAGGAGTTAAAAATGGTTGTAAATATAGTTTAAGTGATCGGAAACACATTTAAGTTTCTGCAACTTTGGTTAAGTACACGAAATACAACTTTGCACAGATCTGAGCCAAGTATTTCAGCTGATCAACGTACAGTCACGCTCGCACGCTTTGGGAACGCTATGGAATAAAAAAGGTGCCATATTGGTACTCTCACTCGCTGAAGCATGTAACATAACCTAACCTAACACTAGGCTAATGCTCCTTGTAAACAATCAGCCCTTTCACGCAACCCAACAAATATGTACATATATATACATATATATGTATATTGAAACCTGAGCTGAACTTTTGGTTGATTGCGACGGAGACGCAATGCGTCTGTTACTGTTACTTGTATTGGAATGCGTGTAAATAACTAACAACTGCGTATGTATATATTATGATGCGATTACGATAAAGTCCGAACTCAGAGAAGTATATACACATGTGTAGCCATAAGTACAATATGTAGTGCCGCAATGCTTTGATACTCACAGCCTGATAACTAATACTATTTTGAAAGTCCTCTGACCCCAGCAAGACTCATGTTCGCCAGACACTACTGTTCCCCCTTTATCCCGATCCTGTTGTTTTTGGTGCTAATAACGGTTTGATATTTTGCTCTTCAAGGATTTCCAGAAGCGCAGGACTACTTCAATCAGATACTCAGCGGCATCAATCACGTGATCAAGACGCACATGAACGAAATGCACTCGAAATTCGAGACGCAGTTCTCGAGCATGGCCGGGGAGGTGCGCCGTCGCGATGCCATCATTGCCCAGCTCCAGCTGAAGCTGCGATCCATCGAGCAGAAGTCTTCTTCAACAGCTTTATCCTCGGCTGCAGTTCCATCCTCAGTCCTCGCTATAGCCCGCCGGCAGAAGCGGGAGAAGCTCTCGCAGCTCTCGGTGGACGACGATGAGCCGGCGGAAGAGGAGAACAGTAGTTCGGGCTCCTCCGCAGAGCTTCTCTTCATGGTGAGTGCATGCTGCTCGCACTTTGGCATCGAATATTGTATCTAATCGGTTCTCATCCCACTTACAGCGCGGGGATTCCCTGGACACGGTGTTTACCTCTTCGCCACCAATTCAGGGCGGCCGACGCAGTATATCACCCGGCCCAGGACCGAGTCGGCATCATGCCGCTTCGGCCAATGCTCTGAACTGTCCCAGCAGCTACTACAGCGGGCCGGGCACGCTGAGCACACGGCATGCCCAGAGCCATCCCAGCTTCTATACGGGGCAGGGGAATGGACGCAGCAGCAGCAGAGGATATCGTGAGTGGAGTGGAGCCGCTGGCGATGGCAGGTTCAGTGGGACGGACGGTAGCGGACCCAGTGGCATGGTGGTCTCGGACGTAACGGGCAACCTCACACGGCTCTCGGATAGCGTGATTCTGGACATTGGTGAGAGCTCCAGCTCGAGCTCCTCGTCGAGTAAGCTGAATATTGCGGAAGAGGAGGACGACGAGGATGAAGAAGAAGCGGAAGCGGAAGCAGAGGCCGAGGCGGATGAAGAACTTACCGCCAGTGGGACCGGGAACAACGATTGGGAGGTGCGAATGCTGGCCGCCGAGATGGAGCGGCAGGAACGCAAGCGCGGACACTCACTGTCCGACAATCTGGGCGACCTGAAACACTGCAGCACGTTCCTCCGTCGGCGCCGCAAGTTCAGCGACACCGAAACGGAGTTCAGCGAGACGGACATGGACGACCAGTTGGCCAGAGGCTCCGGCGGCCCCATTGGTAGCGGCACCAGCGGCTTGGCTGGTGAGGCGCCCGCAACAGGAGCTGGACCCACATCGAGTGGCAGCGGGATCCAGAGTGGAAGCCAGCGGCCGAGGGCTTCCAGTCTGGACCAATTCAACCTGCGTTACGGCATCGGGCGTGGCATCTTCAAAGCAATGAGCATCGATCGTGATAAAGACAAGCTTTGAGAACTATAACCGCGACCAAATATCCCCCCATCCCCTAACCAGAGAACACCTTCCGTATCCAATCCCATAGCAGCCACAACACTGGACGAGGACAACCCATAAGCAATTCGGACAGTATTACAATGGTACAAGAACTAAATATATATATAAAACCCATATATATATATATATATATATACATATATATATACACTTCGATATACAAACTAAAGAGGAAATATAGATCTATATTCTATATTATATGTTTAGCCTTAACGATCCCCCAAAATGGAAACCAAAGAAGAAAGAAACCCAAATATAGTATACATATATAAAGTAAAACATTCAAATAGGATATATATACTATATATATTTCCAAGTAGATTTAAAGGAAAAACTACAACTAAACCAAAAACAACACACAAAATAGTTAGAGAGTTCCTCCACCCATGTTCCAGTATCAGCTCTGTATGGTTTCGCTTTCGTTTATTTTTGATTGCCTACTACGAAACCTGGCAAAAGAGCAAACCACTGGGAAATTTATATCTCAACGATGGCAGTCCGCTTATTTCTCAGAGGATAATGCTAGGATCTTTTTGAACTCTTAGAGAAACCAATTCTAGTGGGATTTTGATCTGCCGATTTCAGGCGTTATTTTATTGCCATTCTTGCTTCATTTTGCTAGGACTTAGATTAATAAGAAGGTACTAATAAGTACTATGTATATAGGTGTTTGAGTGCTTGATTGATGGATGGTTGAGAAATTGGTGTCTGCGTGCGTGCGTGCGAGCCAGATGATGATTCCCACATTAAACCGTCCTAAAAAACGTCCATGCCATCACGAGCATGTTTCTTCAGTGTCTGTATCTATATCTCAATATTAGAATTTACCATTTTTTCACCGTATAGGTGTACCGATCGATCAGTTTTTGTTTCTGGAACATTGTGGCAGGGACGGGCTCTCTCTATAAAAATGTATATACCTCTTATTATTAGAGACTATGGAACATATACATACATATATATTTTAAGTACGTATATATATATATACACACAGAAATATACATAGTTATATATACATATATATTGATATATATATATGAACTAGTATAATGAAAACCGAAAGCTTTAATAACTGATATAGAAAACTATTTAAGAAACGTTTTAAATACTAATCGATTCGGACAAATGTTTTGAAATAGAAAGGGCAACCATTTCAAAAGGCACAGACATGCCTAAAACACATACGTACATTACATGCAAACACATACACACAAACATACACATACAAAAATCATACATACATATATATCTATATATAGAGCTTATAATATGCATAGATTAGCGATTTACTTGTTGAAAAACCCTCAGTTTGTGCTGTTGAGCCTATCTAAGCGTTAGTCAAACCTATCTAAAACTTAGACTAGATGCCTAGTCCCAATACTATGCGATTTTTATCCCCAGAAAAACACCCTCCCCTTCGGTTTCGTTTGCCTAATCTCACGCTTGCAGTCTTTGTCCCCCGTTTCCGTCCCCATCGCATTCCCGTGCTCATCTGATTCATCATACACGATCCCTAATTGAGAACTATTTCGATATAATAAAGGCAACTCTAACACTTAAGTAGATTAGTGCAGTTCTAGATCAATTTCGAAACCGAAACCGAAACACAAGCCGTAAGCTTAAAGCTGCTTAAAAGTATCTCTTAAGCGAAAACCAAACCAAAGAAAATCTAAACAAAGGAACAGATAGTTAGGTTTGTTTTGTTAACACTTTTTCTTCATTTGTTTACCCATCGATCTACTTGTTGCTCTAGCCTAATGCTAAACTAAAGAAAACGAACCGAGACAGTTGCAGTTGCAGGTCCTAGAATCAGGCCAAATCAGTCACTCAATTCAGAGTAGCCAGCAAGTATAGTCAGTAGAGAAGTTAACCCTAACAGCAGGCACCAATAGAGCGTTTCGTAGCGACAACTTACTTAGCAGCAAAAGACAACGTAACTGTACTCGGAAACTTATCCCCGAACTTACTGCTATCGCAATCGCTATGGCTAAGGCTATCGATAACATCGATAGGTCTTGTATTGTAATTAGCGCACTAAGGCACACGCACACACAGATACACATACAGATACACGCCACACATACACATGCGTACTTCAACGAAAAACTAACTAAACGGATACTATATCTACTTATCTACTACCTGTAGTTAGCCACAAACAAACACAAAACTGAAATTCAAGGAACAAATACTCAAAAATGGGTTCAATATAACAAAACAAAACAAAACAAAGAACAAGAACAACTAAAAATGGATCACAGCCAGCTATGCAGTCCAACTAAATCTAATAAGACAAAAAACGAAAAACGAGAAGCACAAAACTTAAGTAATAAAAATAGTTACAACTAGACGGAGGAGTAGCAGGAAGGCTTACGAAGAAAGGAGGGACGTAGATGGAAGTAGATGGGGAAGATGGAAGCAAGGACACAAGGCCAAAGAAGATGAACTTACCTTATAAGGAAACGAATTTTTTGATTTACTTTATTGGTATCTATTGGGTTTCTTTGTTATTGAATGCCAAGTTTAAATGCAAAATGAAACCATTTCAATTGAATTACATACGCCAGGGACCACAAAACGTTTTTTTTTCTCTCTCTTTTTTATAAAAACGTGAAGTACTCGTAATGTGTAGACACAAAGGGAAAACCTAGCAAAATCGAATTATAATAAAACCATATAAAGAATGTTTATAGAGAAATGGGGAAATCCAGTTAGGGGTATTTCCAGAGAGGATCATTTAGCGTGGATCATATCCCCAAAAGCCAACATATAGCTATCCCCTCGACCCGACCCGACCCGACCCAACCCAAACCGCCCCGCCCCGCCCGCATCCAGGGCCCATTTCGATATAGCTTTTTTCGTACAACTCACTCTCAGTTCAATTGTTGCCAACCAACGAAACACTGTGAGTCAATTATGTATATGGATCAGTTTTAAAAATTGTTTTTAACGTGCCCCCGATTATTGGAGATAAAGGAGTAGGAGAAGGAAAAAAGAAGGAGAAGAAGAAGAGGAAGATGAAGAAAGAAACCAATTATAAATTACTCTGTGTATTATATTAAATTACTCGCAAAATACCGCGATCTGTTGTCGTTGTTGATTTTAAATTTTAAATTGCTCGTCTTTAAGTTACCGATATTTTTGTACATTAGTTTAAGGTAGCGCATAAAGAGTCCCAAACGAGTATTAAGTAAAAAATGCATACATAATTGTATAAATACGAGTACATATATTTTTTTTTCCTCCTAATTGCTAATTTCGCAATGTTGACAGATACTAAACAGCATGTACTTATAGTGAAAATTATATGCAAAAATGAAAAATGATAAATTAAACTAAACTAAAAGGAATACCTAAACCAAACAAAGAAATTAGCACATGTTAAAGAGCCGCAAATAAATGAAGAACAAATGGGAAATACATACGCGTATGTACATATGTACGATGAAAGACAGAGAACTGCGAACTTGCCTTCGGTTGCGAGTTAATTTTTAGTGTGCCAAATCTACATCATATCAACTTTTACTCACCATAAGGTATGATGTTGCTAAAATAATACGAACATAGATACGAACACTAAACCAAGAGAAACCGATGCAAGTGACGTACTCGTAAAACCCAGTGCAACCAAGGTGAAATATGAAAGAAAAGAACAAACATACAAACGTATTTAAATAAAAGAAAGAGAAAAACCAAAAAACATTACAAAGAAAGCCACAATCTATCTGCTTATTGAATGGGGCAAGGAATGGCCATTTTCTTGGGCAATTTCGCAGACACGCGTGGCAACACTGTCTCCGCTTTCGATACACAAGCTTCCGGTTAACGGTAAGTGGCAGGGCACCCCTGGTGCCCTCTGTTGTCAGCGACAGAAAACTCAGGCAGCAGGACCTGCGTATTTCACTTGGAAAAGCAGTTGCGCGAGGCGAGGGTGGGTTCAGCGAACAGTGCTGCCACACTTACTCGGGGGAGGGTCTGGCAACGCTCTGTGTACAAGCTTTTATCATCCCCCAGCGATGCTGCCACTGCCATTGCCGCTGTCGCTGGCTGCTTCTACTGCTGCCTCTCTGCCACGGACAGCTTCTGCTGCTCTGAGCAGAAATTCTTGAACGCCACAGCACACGGGACACGGACGCGGCAACGACAACAGCAACAGCAACGGCAACGGCATCGGCAACGGCTGGCCCCAGGCATAACAGCAAAAAAACAGCACAAATAGTTTACATTTGTTTGCTTTTGTTCGTTGGTTTTTTTGTGATTGTTTTCGTTGTTTTTTCCTCTAGTTTTTTGTGGTGTGTGTCTGTCTGTGTCCGTGCCATGTACCCGTCGTATATTTATACAACAGTCGCGAAACCTGTGCGCAGAATTGTCTCAATTAAAGCAAAGTTACATTTCGGAATCCAATTCCAATTCAAATTCCTATTGCCATTCTGATTACGTTGGCTGTGAATTCACTGTGTGTGGCATGTAGCGGGATTTTGTTTGCTCTCCTGTAAACAGTGGGTGGTGGGTGTGTAGTGTGTAGAGTGTGTGTGTCTGTGTCTGTGTCTGTGCCTAAGGCCATCCGCTTGCCGAGGAGCGAAAGGGGTAGGCCAGAGGAATAACCATCGGTATCGGTAAGTCAAATATCACCGCACAATCGCAGAACCAGAGAACAGACCCGAAAGTTATTTGTTTACATTTTCCCGACATGCGTGTGGGCTATTTCAGGGGGCCAGTGTAGGGGGAAATCTTTGTCTAGAACGAAATCAGAACAGCAAAACACCAGAACATTAGAAAACACAAAGAAAACAGACATGTACTCATATACTGGGTGAAATCGGCTCTGCATAGTTCTTTTGTTTATTTCATTCGAAAATTGTGCACTCAAAATCGTATTCGCACTTATAGCTCCCCCCTTTTGGGTCAGACGTCACCGTCTCCCCCGATGATGATTGTGCGAGTGAATCCCCCTCTTTGAAGGTGATTATTCCGCACATTTGTTCGGATCTGGCTTGGATCAGGGGTCGCATGGAAAATGCATATTTATAGGTGGGACTGGGGTTTGGGTTGGGGCTTGGCTCCCCTACCCATCCTACTTATATTTATTATGTAAAATTTGTTCGCTCTGCTCTTCTCATCTCTTCACTACTCTGTTTGGCTTTGTTCTCTGGCCTGATTTTGGGGCAGGGCTGGGTCCCACCTGGAAGAGGGATTCACGAGCTATTGTCGCTGACTGTGGCGATGTGCGTGGCTTTTGTCTGATTTATGCCCTACAAGAATCAAATTATTGTTCGTCTTTGCCCCTGCCACGGGACCTCCAGCCCTAGTCCTCCCTTTCCCTTCCGCATCTCATTTTCTATTATATTTCTCTATTTCCATTCGGCAGCCTCGACATTTCATTTCATTATGTAGTCAACATTCTTTTTATTCTGTTCTCCCTTTTACTCCACAGCATGAACTAGTTTCGGGTGGTGGTGGGTTGCCCGAGAAGTTTCGCGGTGTGTGGAGTGAGCGGCAACCTCCACCTATCCTTCGATATCGTCTATCGTCATCTCCGGTTCGCCTGGGGTCTTGGCAAGGGGATCAGCAGGAAGGGGGTTCTGCCCACAGTCATTTGAGGCAAAGGTTTATCAACTCTTGAAGGATCTCTCGAGCCAAGGACAAGGGTTGGCTGGTTGGCTTCTTGGCTGGTTGGAGCACCCCTCGCACACTTTGCCCAGCTGTTGCATAAATTTTCGCATTTAGCTGCTTGTCTTCTATGTATGTGTTTGAGTGTATGCGCATGTATGTGAGTATCTGTGTATCTGGGCATGGGTATGGGTGTGTTTTTGTGGATTTCGTGAGCGTTTTATGCAGCTCAAGGAATTTCGTTGTTCGTAGAAGCCATGACAAGGCTTTTCGTTTCTTGTTCTTTGCTGCTCCTCTATACCCTTCCCTAAAGGGTATACAGAACTTTTCACCACACCTAACTGAGTCCCATCTTAAGCTTCCTCTGGTCATTAATTGGGCCAGATCCTGACCCATTTCGGTTGGGTGTGTCTTTCTTGACATTGATTGATGAGAAAATTATTTCTGCGTTTAAAATTTTATTGCACAATTATGAGCCCAATTTAGGGGAATATATTTTTGGAAATACATATGTACATGTACATATATGTATGTATATATAGATATATATTAAATTTACACTTTATTATGATTATGAAATTTACTAATGACCATAGCCAACGTTTCTGTGGAAATTAGGTATTTTTCCAAAATTTCTTAGTTTTCGCTAAAAAAAAATATTAAATTCCAATTCGAAACTGCGTAAGAAGTTTCCTGAAGAAGTATTTTCATTAAAAACGAATTAAAACCAACAGCAAATTTGATTGAAGTTAATTTAAATTGTAATAGAATAGAAATGTGATCTTAGCCTAGCCGAGTATCACCCATAGATCCATATTTGTGGAATCTATCTCCCCCACACCCATTGGGTGGCCTTTCTTGGTCACTGGAGTGTCTGTCGCCTAAAACTCATCTCGCAACCTCTGATGGTATGCTGAGTCGACGACGCCTACGAATTGAAGTGAATTGAAGCATGTAAAAGCAGGAATGGACAAGTTTAGGTAATGCCGTGTGATAATCGGACTCGTGAGTACGATCATACCCGAGCAGAGTAGCACGATAAAAGAGAGTGAGGAAGCGTAGCTTTCGTACGAGGAAGATTCGGGTCTGTACATAAGTATTGTACATACTTTGTCATAGTTTTCTTTCTTTTTAATGACCTAAATCATACATATAGATAAAGAACTTACTCTACAGAACATTTATAACATTTTTCTTAATTATTTCTTTTCTTATTTCTATTCTTATCAATTAAAGGTTAAGCCTGTATTAAGGAATGTCAGCCAAAATATCATTTTTTTATTCATTATTATTTGCATATAATTAATATTGTTCCACAGCTACCGAAGCATTGGTGGTAGTTACATTAGGGGCCATGCCAACCTTGTTCCCTGCATTGGGGAAGGTCGGGTGGGCATCGAGGAATTCGTGATCTCCTACTACTATCATCAGAAACTTATAAACGCGACTAGCGGATTCCTTCTTGCCATCTATGTTTGTTTTCTTTGAATAAGTGGGGTCTGTTTGGAGTGCACTTAACTTGATATAATATGGCAAGCTTAAGGACATATAGGGATGAAGAGCCCATATCAAACCTCATTTTCTAACTTGCAAAGGTATATAGAAATCGCCTTTACCGACAATATTGTAGGGTGAAAACTTTCCTACTCGGCTTTCCACCGCTTTTCATTTGGGGCTCAAGTACGGTCCTGTTTCCGCTGCTGTCACTGCTGTGTTGGGTTGTTCGGGGTTACCAAGAGAGGCCGCACCAGTCTCAGGCCCAGGCCCTGTCCCGCAAAAATTCGAGAGTGGAAATGGCTGTCGATGGGGCCTAGGCCTTGCGCATTTGTTTCGTTGTCATAACAAAATCAACAGAAGCAGAAATTGAAATTGTTTCCCGTTCGGTTCGGGGCTTTGGCTCAGACAGACCGACAGACAGACAGGTGGACGGATGGACAGAGAAAGTCGGGGATAGGAGAGAGAATAATTGACTTCATTAATGCGAACATAGTCATTTGAATTATTTTTACATATTGGATTCAATAAACCCAATATACTACAGCATGTCCGTGTTCCGCTTTCAGTAATGCAAAGACGGCGTTATGGCACTACAAGGCTGGCGCTTTTTCGGTGTCTCGGCGACCATCATCATCTACATAGGCGGCGTCCTGTTCCTCTCCATGAACAACATACCCGGATCGCATCCGAAACGACCTCGCATCGAACGTTTTGCCGAGGTAAGTCTCCGTCCCCTCCTCACTCCACCTACTGATCACTCCTTACTCACTTTCATGCTATACTTCGCCAACAGTTTCCCAGCTTTCATAGTCCTCGGTTTCCCATGCCCAGCCGCAAGATGACCATTCGCTGGTGTCGCGACCTGAAGTACATGAATCGAGATCTTCCAAACTACACAGACTACAGGGCCGATTTCTATAGTGAGTACTAATCGAAGGAGCACTCCTCCACTGGATGGCAATATTCAAGCAAATCTTACATTCAACAGCACTGCCCAGCGATGTAAGCGCCAGCCTGCAGGCCTCGCCCATGCTGACGGCCTTGGCCAGTTTCCCGGGCAGTGGCAACACCTGGCTAAGATATCTGCTGCAGCAGGCTACGGGAATACTGACAGGCAGTATCTACAAAGACTACGGACTGCTCAAGACAGGCTTCCCCGCGGAGAACGTGTGTAACAGCTCAGTATTATTGGTAAAGACCCACGAATGGGGCGGCAAGTCCTGGGCCCCATTCGCCAAAGCAATCCTCCTGGTCCGGGACCCCGAGAAGGCGATCATAGCCGAATTCAATCGACAGAGCGGAGGCCACATCGGCTTCGCCTCACCCGATCGCTACAAGCGTACAAAGGGTAAATGTGCGTGATAGATCCCCCAAGTGCTTGAAAAACTTTATTAACTGGCTTCGTTTTCCTTTTGCAGATTGGCAGCAGTTCGTGAGCAATAAGCTCAAGGGCTGGGAGCTAATGAATCTCAGCTGGGCGCGCAATTTTACGGGCAGTATTAAAGTTGTATTCTACGACGACCTGGTGCACCACACGGAGCGCGAGCTGCGGGCCATTCTCGACTTCCTGCAGTTTCCCGTCGACGAGACGCTCTTGCGATGCGCCATTCTGCGCAAGGAAGGAATATTCCGACGAAAGAAGCGCCTGCTTTCCTTCGACCCTTACACAGAGGCCATGCGGGCCCAGGTTCAGGCCCGGAAACGCATCGTCTACAGCCTGCTAGGTCGTAAAGAGCACTAGAGTAGAACTAAAGCTATGTGATTATCATCTTTAGGATGGTTCTAAGAGAAGATTTTGTGCAAAGAGATGAGCAAATCAAAGCAATGCAAATCGTACCACCAAATGACGCACAAACCAACCGGAATTGGTCACAGAACCCACACGCCGCCTACCGCATAGACAACTGCATCACATCACAAAACAATAACACTTGACATAGGACCATAGATCTCAATGGAATCTGGAATAGCTAGAATACTAAGTAGGCTTACGCGACCGCGACACCAAGCAAGTCTTCCCAAAGATCGAACCATCCCCACAGCCCTTCAAACATTGTTTCCAATCGTTTGCCGCCAGCTTAGCGCATTAGTTCAAATTTTTGTTGAATGTTTAGATATATGCATTAGCTTAGGTTCAATATATGAAGTATTTGTAGGCTATAGAAAATGATCGGATCGGATCGGAAGATCAATAGATCAGATCGGCTTGCGTATGCAACAAGGTATTATGATTCCTGAACGAATTTATGAAATTCATTATAGGCCATGTTGTGCTTCATTGCCCATCACCACACCCAGTTCGTAATTACATTCACATCTCCGGTGTGCACATCGGGTTCCTCATTGCCACTGGTCCTCTTGGTCAAGCTGAACTCCCGTATTAGACTATCCTTGTAAAAAGTTTTATACACGACTCTACAAATAACATGTGAAGTACGAACGACTTCGAATGTATTAGATAATTGTACAAAAAAAAAAAACAAATCGCGAAAAACGAACAGAAAATGAAATGAAAACAATGAACATGAAGTGAACTCAGAAAACAAAACTGAAATGTGTTTTCCTTGCTCTTCAGGGGTGGTGGGTTTGGAAAAGTCCCAATGACTCGGCGCTAGTCAAAGCTTTTATCAAGCTCAACTTCAATGTGCTTTTTGAAGCTATTTAGTGAAGTTATTGAAAGCTTTTAAAAGCTTTGAAGCATCCTGCTCCGTCGCATGGGACTTTGCTCATACGCCACACATAGATGGCGACACAAGCGCCAAATTAAAAATTACTCAAATTTTGATCATCAAAATGAAAAAACCGGCAATATATATTGTAATTTTCTATCATTCTGCGTTTGCGGTTTCCTCGTATATTCAAAATTGTGTAAGCCACTGATTTTCGTTTTTTGTGTGTTATCCCAGACTTCTGGATACAAAATTTGCTTGCTCTAGTCTCTGAGATCTAGGAACGGACAGACCGACATGGCTATATCGACTCGGCTGTTGATGCTGATCTAGAATATATAAATACTTTATGGGGCTTTATGTACTTTATGTATGTACCGGCAAGGCTAAAAACCAAAGAAATATTTTATGAATATCTTTGCATCCATCTTTAAGGCAATAGATTGAAACTGGTCAAAGTGTGATGAGTTCTCGAAGAACCTGGAAGTCGTCACTTTTAACCAAATGTATACCTGCAGCCCAAAACGCACACTGAAAAAAACTTGTATAATATTGTCCAGATCAGTGATTCTCCAGCACATCCATTGGGTATGAAGTGCTTTTATTAAATTGATTGAAACGGGAAAAGTATGGCAGATTGGTATAGGTAGGATAAGTGTGCAATATGAATCTGTAAATGCTAAGATGATCTTAATGATTCTGGGGTTTGCTTAAGGCTTCCAAACTATAATCAACTGATCAATTCCAAATACAATACAAATGTATGTATTTGATGGGAGGAACTTACTCTACGAGGGACCCTGTTCGGTTGGTTCCGGTTCGGTCCAGTCATTGGATAACACCCTTTAAGAGATTTTGTATTTTGCATGCTTTTAACAGTTACAATACACTGCAACAACTAGGCCTCATCCATTGCACTTCAAACTGACACAACTCCTCCTGCCCCCATTCGACCCCACCCTCGGCAGCTGGCAGTACCTGCAAAATATCCCTGACGCAAAACCCCACCTTCTCCCACCTTGTATTCCCGCCCACTCGCACACCCACATCGACATGTACGCCCATTTTTGTTTTGGCATTGTTGGCCGTGTTGCCGTTTTGTGCCTTTTGTTTGAGCTGTGCTGCCCCTCTCCGCCCTTCCCCCTAGCACCCTGCCCCTCGCAGCACCTCGCTGCCTCGTTGCCTGTCCAAAAAATAAAGCAAAAATAAAGGTAAAATAAAAATACAAAAAAAATTGTGCCATATGCCGGACGCGGGGCATTGCGATGCTCACTCGCTCGCTCGCTCTCAGGAAGCGACAGGGCCGTGGGCGAGCGGAGGAGGGGAAGGGTGCTTCTGCGGGGTGGTTGGGTCCGGATTTGGGCCTGGAACTGGAACTGGGCCTCCTGCTGCTCCCCGTGGCCCAGTGCGCAGTCGCCTGGCCGCATTCTGTTGTCGCCACACTGGTATTGGCTTCGTCAAGTTTGCCGCGGCCGCCAGGTAGAGACAAAACGGCTCTGTCCAATTCCAGCTGAACGAAACTGCCGGCGTCGCTGCCAGCACAGCGACAGCGACCAATCGGAGCCGAGTGGCTGGCATTACATAAAGGACGTGGCTGCCATTTTGCAGGGGTGGATGGCGTGGGCCACGCCCACGCTGATAAATAATGAAAACATGTCGTCCGCCCCATTGAAAATAAACTCCGAAGTTAGCGAAACTCATCATAGAATTCTTTATCACAACACCACGCGCGCTTGTCTAGTTGTGAAATCTGTTCGCTTGCGTTTAGTTTCGACCAAAGTTGAATGCGTTGAATGCGCTGAGTGCGGGCGGTAGCGGCAACGAGAAAACGAGACAAACAGCGACAACAAAAGGATATACCCGATATACACCCGGTCAGGATACATTAAGCGCGACACGAATAAGCGCATCCATCGAACAGCTGAGCGCTGAGCGCTGTGCCCAAGATCCGAGAGCTCACCTGAGCGACGGCTTTACACAATCCTCAGACCGAACCAGACCGACCGACAGACACATACAAAGACATACCGATAGACTGGAACAAGCGGAAGCGGAAGACAGCTTTTGAGAACGGTACGGTACGAAAGAAGAAGCTCCGCTTGGCTCTGGAGCCCAGAGCTTGGCTTGGGCTTACGTACTCTACGACCGCAGAGAAAGGAGGACGAACCGCTGTCACAGCTAAACGTGAAGCAACGCAACGCAACGCAACGTAAGGCAACGAAACGCAACGATAAGCGTCAAACGTGAAACGTCAAACGGCAAACGTCTAACGTGAAACGGTAAACAGTTCCCCACATGTGTGTGTGACGTCCACTCGTAGACCGTTCAACCGCTTAACCGATTCGATTCGATTCACCCTTGCACCCGCTGGCTGTCCTGGCGGCGGTAATCCAATTACAGTTCCGTGAGACCCACAAACAAATTCCGAACCGAACCGCTAACTGAATTTACCGTTGCGCGTGTTGTTGGCACCGACGGCACACGTGTGTGTCCTACCCGTGGGTCCTCCAGCGACAACGGAACGACGCATTGTATGCAACATTTTTGTTTTTGTGCTTTTTTCTCAGTTTCAATCCGCGTCACACGAAAGCAGAGAAACTACCGCCCAAAGATAAAAGCCAACGAAAGCTAAACGAAATTCTCGAGTGCAGTGCTGAATCCAGAATCCAGATAATCGAAAAAGAATAAGAATAAGTATAAGAAAAATAATCAAATTATAAAGAAAAGCGAGCGCCGAGAGAGGGAGCGCGTAGAGAGATTAAGTGCATTTGAAATAGTTGATCCTGCATGCAGGACACGCGCTAAAATCGTCCAAGTAAGTGCTTCAAGATTTACTCGCCAACAACATTCGACGCCTCAAGGGCGTTCAAGCTGGAGGAGGATTTCGTCGGCGGCTGCATGACAATGTCGATGTACTCGACAACGGATAAAATGAAAATGTCAGCGCCCAGTTGTTTTCCAGGACGCTACAGTCCCTCCTATCGAAGTTCGGAGCAAATGCGGCGCTGCATGCCAAATCCATCTGTAAGTATAGCCATAGCCACCGCCACAAGCCCCCATCATTACTATTACGGAGAAGCTTCCCACGATTATCAGAACTTTTCGATATTTCCATAGAGTTAAAGACAATCCTGCTAACAATTGATAAGAGGAAAAATCTGATTATGATTATTATATTATAACAGATCCCTGTCTTTTTATTTTATTTATTATTCATTGACGAGTGAATTTTATCAATCCATATTGGTCTGAGCTTTTTAATACAAGTTCATGTGATACACATGTTTTTATGTATGTATGTATCTAAACTTTGACTTGGTAAATGTTCTTATTAGATTTGCATATTTTACTAATTTTTTAAACCCCTTCAGAAAGTCTTTCACACCTTAGTCCAAAAATATAAACTTGGAATAGCTATTTGCCCCACATTCGTTTAGGTTTCAGATTCTTCTTTCGAAGTGGTGCTTCTATGCCGAGACCAACTAGCGATCTTGTCCAAATTCAACCAAGCCACCGGATGGGACTGCCCTTAAATCGCAATAGATTGCTCACCACGGTTTAGGCAGTGAGAAGAGTCACACGCCCATGCGGCATCACAATTGACCTGTAATAGGAATAGGAATAGGAATAGGAATAGGAATAGGAGGCTGCATGACAATGTCGATGTACTCGACAACGGATAAAATGAAAATGTCAGCGCCCAGTTGTTTTCCAGGACGCTACAGTCCCTCCTATCGAAGTTCGGAGCAAATGCGGAATAGGAATAGGAATAGGAATAGGGGGTGGTTCGCCCCTAACCTAACCTGTGCTTATGTCATAAACTCTAAGCGAATATAAATAATCTTATCCGATTCAAGGAGAGTTCCAGGAAACTTTCAGAATTTCCAATAAAAAGAAAGCATTCAATAACCAATAGGAGTCCCATTGAGTACAACTTGAATCTGACAAGAATGCATTCGTATATAAGATCACTGTGAAAAGACTTAGCAGCGTTAAAGCTAAATCTATCCAGGGTGCAATGAGAAGTTGAACTAAACCAATTCTGAATCCACTCAAATGCTGAATTATGACCATTTTGAATATTAAATGTAGCATTGACGCATTAATGAAGGGAGTCTAAGCCTTTGTTTAGTTAAGAACTCAAACTATTTGGTTAGTTTTCGAGTTGTATTAATCCCGTTGATCTGTTGTCATTGCTTTAATTCTCTGAAATTTGTATTTTAAATCTTGTTATCTTCGTCGCTATGTCTTTGGATAGCTCTTTAAGGGCAATATAAATCTTACCCAAACAGCTTTCTATCCAAGAGAAAGGCACTGAGTACATTTACATTTTCTATCCGTTACTGGGTCCTCTCTTAAACAATTTTATTGATTAGCTAATTGATTTTGAACCCCTAAGAGTTGCCACATTTCTCTCTCCAGACTCTAAAAAACGCATACATCCTGTGGGAGTATTATCTTCGATGGTTTAAGCTTTAAAGTCTTGCTACGGAATGATGTCGTAGGCCGCTGTAATGTATGTAGCTACCGGAATATCAGAATATTAACTTTCTTGTTTCCTAATTGAAAACCGTATTACCTACATGCGAGTACAATATCATTGTCCTCCTGCTTGAATGCACTAAAAACGAATAATAATAATTGGGAGGATTTGGCAGACGTCTCGCAGTTCCCCTGACTTTCTGAATCTTTTATGAGGCTTGAGTTGAAAATTGAATAGGAACACGGGCAGACATTAAATGGTTATTACTGACAGTACTCAGACAGGTTTATTGATGCCAGTCTGGTCACTGACATCAGGAAGCAACACGGCATGGAGCGAAGCGGAAACGGCGAGCGACACAATATTGTAAGTGACGTGAACTTCACTCGCATTTTCCATTTTCCATTTTCACTTTACCACGACTACCGATCCCAACGACAAGGCAACATTTGTCTTAATTATTCCATAAGAGTCGCAAAAGTTACCGACTTACCAGCGGCCTCAGCCTCAGCCTGAGCCTAGCCCAGATTTATTGGGATTACGCGGCCCACAAATGGCGCTAACTGGTGGCTGGAACCTTGAAAAGCGTTTTGTAATTCATTTTCATTAATTATTTATCTACTATTGTGCACGCTGACCAAAGAGACAAATAAAAAAAATGTTTAAGCACAGAGGGTAAACAAAAAATAGAAAGTGTTGCGCCCGGGTTCACCGAAGCGCGGCATACACTGGATGGTTAATGGGATATTCACATATTTATGCATATATACTATATTATATAGCTAGGAAATACTAGGAACTATTTTCCTCTCTACTTTCATGTTAAAGGAATTTAAGAAAACTTTTCAGAGGAACAGGTACTTTTAAAGGGATCAGACCTATGATCTGTATTTGAAAATAGTTCTTGAAAATATTGTATTCCGAGTTCTTGAAAGAATATTGAATGTTTTCCGGACTATCAAAGATAGTTCCTCTTCTTCAATACTTTAATTTTAAAAGAGTTTTAGGACACCTTCTAGAATAACTCGATAGTTTGCGTGGAACATACCAATTGAAATTTTAACCCTTCTATTCTATTCTCTCCTTCTATGGTTGTCTTGCCATCTAAAGAATGTATTTCTGAAATTGTTTAGCGCTACTCATCATACCCCTTTCCCTTTTCAAGTTTCAAAATGTGCATAAACAAATGAGCTAAGGGAATGCAAAGAAAAGAAAAAAGTGAAAATGTTAAGGAGGGTTGGGCACAAAGGTGGCAGACATTATAAATGGGGAAACTGCCGAGACCCCAAAGAGGAAGACCAGGGAAAAGTTGATTGCTTGGCATGAACAGGTGACTGGCAATGCGGGCGGGGGGATATCTTTCAACCCCCCAACTCCAGTCACTCCTTGTATCCCTGTATCCCTGGCCTTCTTCCCATATTAATCTGACAGAGAAGCACTTTAAACAGGAAGTATAAAAAAAAAAGAAAAAGAGTGAGCAGCAGGAGAGGAAATCACTTCAAGTGTATTTGTCTTTAAGAGGCAACAACTACATTTGCTTATCGGATTTACTTGCCCAACTTCCCCCCGCCTTGTGCTGCTCTTTTTTTGACCTCTTCAGCGCCGAGCCGCACCGCACCGCACCCCGCCCAGCTCAGCCCCGGCTGATTACAGTTAGCCACTTTTCGGCTTTTTGGAAGCTGGCAGCGGATCGAGTCGAATGATCAAAGCGGCGGATTTATAGGATTTATATGCTACCCTTGGCTACCGCTGTGGCAGCGCATTAGGCCTGAAAGTGGAATCAAGGCGAGCAAGTGAGCAAGCAAGCAACAAAGAGTCCTCCTCTTTGGCAGGACAGTGGGACAGACGCGCTTTTTAGCTGGTTACAAAAACACTTAACGCCTTGCAGTCCATTAAATGGAAATTTGTCGCCGATCCGATCCCTTGGACAGAGTCAGACAACAGACAGCGTCAGCGGCAGCAGGTGGCGGGTTCTGCTTGGAGTTGGACTGGGACTGGGAGTGGAACTGGGATTTGGTTGAGCTGTTCTCTGGGGTGACACTGAGACTGTGACTCAAGCTGGGGCCGAGGGTGCTGCGGATGAGGATGAGGGCGAGTATATGGATGAGGATGAGGTCGAGGGCCCTGACTGGTGCCCGTTGTCAGATGACAGACGGCGTCCGCCTCTTGAATTGTTTGCCGGCAGCGTTAAATGGACAGCGGCGGCGTTAATTTGATTTAAATATTCATAAACTGCATTTAATGGCCGCGACAAATGTGCTTGAAATTAAAACGAAACCAGTGTAAAACAATTGTCAAATTATTGGCAAATCAACAGCAAACCTACCCTATCAGATAGATTGTTTCTGTGTCAGCTATATGATTTGTCATTTTGCTTGCGGACTGAGCAGGGCTTTGTCCGATTTTGAATAAACTTTTCTGAACTCTAGTATGTATACTTATTATACTTCCTTCAAAATCAGGTGTAATGGTTGGTAGCAAAAGATGATAATCAATTTCGATTTCTGCTGCTGACAGATTAAAGAGGAGCCATAACGGGCAAGGACGAAATATTTCTTAGTGAACCAAAAGCAACTATCTTATTGAAATAAATATGCATATTATGAACTTTATGGATTATGGATTGGCAAAGTATTAGTCTGCACTAAATTCAGTCGAAAGTAATCAGAAAGTAACAAAAGCTAAAGGCATAGGACAAAATACTAAACAAAATTTTTTTATTTAAAAAATTAATTTAAAAAACCTTTACCTGTTGGAAATTATAAAAAACTCCTTAGGAAGCCGAAAAGTGTTGAGCATGCAACCATGCATTTTCGTCATTACATAAACGGCCTCGGAATATATTTTAATTGAAAAAAAATGCACTCATTAGGAAATCTTGTAGAGATTTTAAATCCATTAAAACTTTAATATCTGTAACATTGACATTCTCTGACTCAGAAATGTTACGCATTTCTACGTTTCCAAGGAAAAAAATCGTATTGCTAAAGAACATACTTTACCCCAGTACATTTATAGGATATTTCTGATATTAATTTTTACATTCCGCCCATTTTTTTTAATACGAATTATCAAAACTGAAAATTCCTTCAGCCGAGCCTAAATTTTCCACCACTGCAAGTATCCCCGAAGACCAAAAGTAAAACTCCCAAGTCTTAAAGTGATCTTTCATAGAACTTTCAAAGTTATTCTTATGATATTTATTATTCCACATATAAGATAAGATTCGTTCTTGTGATAATAATATTCTTGAAAATATCACGTGTGTAAGTGATAAAAGACTTATAAAAAAATATATTTTTGACAACACAAATGGAAAAAAAAAGTTGGAATTGTGATTGCGCAGTTTGGAACCGTTTAAGTACATGAATGGGTAATGCCTTCAGGTCGCATTGTGCTCTACATTCCATTCATCACATTCCACCTTCAATAGTATACCACAGCCCATCCACTTCATTATATTTCATATCATACCTTTAGGTATCTCCTGCAACAGTTTCCCCGTTCCATTCCGCACATATAAAACACTTTAAAGCGTTACAATTCATTTGATTTCAGTTTCAATGTTAAATTCATTCGGTTGCTGGCATTGCTCCAGTGTTGGGAAGTGTGTGTTTGGCAGCGTAAATCGATACAATTAAACATGCAGCAATGCGTATCTATTTACACACATCATAAATATTAAATGCCAGCAAAGATACACAAAAAAAATCAAATAATAACCATAATATAAACAAAAACCCACTGCCACAAAGAGAGAGGGAGAGAAAAGCCGGTTCTCACGTGTTTGCCTCACGAGAAAGAGATGGCAAAAAAAAAAACAGTTCACTTGATTAATTTTTCACACTAATAAAGAATTTATGTGCAAGTGTCAACCTGCACTGCGGGCTACACACCGCCCTCTGTCCCCTGCTCCCTGCCCCACCAGCCACCTTCTCACCTCTCACTCACTCACTCTCTCTCTCTCTCTATGTCTCTCTTTCTCTACGTTTGTTTGTGTGTTCGTGTGTGCTTGTATGCGTTTGTGATGTCGGAGAGCAGGTCAAGACAGAGCCTAGGCTCCGGCATGTCCTAGGTCGTGGCTAGAGCGAAACAGACGGAGAGATAGAAGTAGGAGAGGGTATTGGGGTGCGAGCCGGTGTTGCATAATTTGATGAATGACTGCGCATATTAATTCATAAATTAATTTACTGTTATAATTTATTACAAACTGTTGCCAGACAAACAGGGACAGAGAGAGGCACAGAGCACAGATAGAGTATTTTTCTCATTTTATATTGAAAGCTCTCCTAGGCGGTATGCTGGCTTGAATGGGGAAATATATCAATCCTGAAACGGTATCCATATCTTTAGGTGGTATTTCAGCGATGGAACGTATCTGGCTATTCAACAAAACATATATTTAAAGGATTATTTTCGAATATTCTTTATCTTAGACCAAAGAAAGATGGATCTGTCGGATTTATAATAAGTATTCTGCATCGAACAACAAAATTCCGAAATCTTATTAAACACATGCTTACCATCGGATCCTTTCTATAGCCAGAATAGTTGGAATATGTCTCCAGCGTGGCTGAATTTATCATCTCTGGATAGCGCCCTGTGGACTCATGCAGGGTTTTAATAAATAAACCTTTTTTCAATATTGTGATCGGTTTTTGTTTTCTCAGATATTAACTTATTTTGTATCTGAAAGATCGCTTCAATGGACACTTCTCTGGGGTGAAAAAATGGCACTATATTCGTAAGTCAGAGATTTTCCTCATGCTGGAACCATGTTAGCGTTCACACTATTTGAGGGATAGGAAAACTTTAATATGGATTAAAAGCCTCCTCCTATTTTCGAAGACCCTGAAATGGATGCACGCATAAACGTAAACTGTCTCAAAGCCTCCCCGTTCGCTCCATGTAAAAAGGGGTTCGGACCGGGCCAACAGACTGTCGCTGTCACATTATTTGCACAACGCCCACAAACTGCCATGGCCACACCGACCGAGTTTATGTGACAATGCGGGCTCATCGGCTCGGCCATGGTCGTCTTCGTGCTCTGTTGATGGAAGGGAATGGAATGGGTTGGGTATGAGGCCAAGATATCATTAAGAATGCACAACATTTTGATTTCTACAATGGCCGTCGTTTGCCTATTGCGGTTCTGCTTTGGCCAGAAAGAGACTGGGATATAGATAGAGAAAGAGAAAGAGACAAAGACAGAGGATATGATGAAGCCTGGCTAATGGCTATGGCCCCATCGAATTACGCCTTTCGGCTCGAAATGTGCGGCAAACGTGAGCGATGCCTTTTTGGCCATGTGGGCTCTGTCTCCTGGGCACCTGTCAACCGTCACCCTTCGCTCCCCGTCGAAACCTTATTACTCCGCAGCTCCCCCTACGCCGTTCACCTCTCACCCCCGCCTCCGTGGCTACTGTGGACCCCGTGCCTCTGTAACTGTAACGGGTACTACGAGTACGTCTTTCGTTTTCGTCGTGCGGCGTTTTGAAGTTTTGTGCGCATCTAAATAATTGATTAACTGAAAAATTCGTGCGAGTTTCGTATACACAAGAAGTTTGTACACACACCAATGCATACGTATGTATGTATATGTATATATATATATTTATATGTACTGAGACATGTATGTATATCTATATATACATATATATACGTATGTATAAAATCGATATGACTGGAATAATAAAGACGCCGACGGCGACGAAATGAAGATGAACAAGAAGGTTTTTGTACCAAAACAAGCACCAAAAACTTTTGATATTATTTATTTAGAGACCAGCCAAAGGTTCGAGTTCGGTCCAGCCGGGCAGCGGGGAGGGAGAGAGTTTTTGGGGGAGCTGTGCGAGGTACTAAAAATCAATAAGACCAAAAACTGGTTAAATCCTTAAAAACGCGACAGGTTGTGTGCGAATGTGGCCACACTTTAAGGCCAGTTGGCTTAAGAAAAAATGATTAATCCGTTGGATTGATTGATCGTGGAGGCAACCTGTAGGACTCGAAACCATATTGAGAACTTTGTGAATCTTGTGAATACTTGTGCATACCATTGTGCATTGCTGTACCCATCGATAGCTATCAATCGATCATCGATCAATCCGTCTACCAATCTATACACATACTATCGATGTTTGTCTCGTCTTTTCAGAGTCGTTTATTAGAAGATGCTTCCCTATTATGCAATTCGTGGTCAGCACGTCAGAACGTAAGTTACAACCACAACAAATACCAAATACAACCAAAAACTAAATCAAAAAAAAAACTATTCGTATATAGAAACATTATTAAAATGAGAAACCAGCTTTCATTGCTTTTCCTTTCCCAAATCCTATTTTTGATACTATTTGATGTCTCGTATTCACGTTCGTCCTCTCCCATTTGATATCGCCGACTCCGATCTAGTTATGTACTTATTTACCTATGTATGTACATATATCTTCTTTACATATCCATATATATATACGTGCATATGTATGTTATCTACTATTTGTATGTATAGCTTATGTCGATCAATGCCTTTCGTTTTGAATTCGGGTGATTTATTCTCAGTATTGTTTTGATGTGTTCTTGCCTGGACCTAGATGTACTTAGTCTGTGTAATAATCATAGAATATACCTTTAGTTCGATTTCATTTAATCGCATTGCACTAATCGCTCGGCTCCTGCCGCTCCTTTTCTCTCTTTCTCTCCCTCACTCTCTCCACAGGGTGATATCTTCGCGGGCATCAACGATGGCATTCTCAGCAGAGCGGAGGCCCTGGCCGCCGTCGATATCCAGAAACACCAAGCCCAGCATGTACATAGCCAAATGCCCTCCCAAATCAAGCACGATGTGATGTACCATCACCACACAATGAGTGGGCCCCCGCAACGTCCATTACAGGTGAGTACTCTGACGTGATTATACTTCTAGAGCCAACAATTTGTAGGCCGCCAGCAAGAGTTCTTGTCCCTTTTAATTATTACCATCCCTCTTGAAAGTTCTCTAAATACATATGTATTGCGTGAGTGGAGTATTGCAGCAATTATTATACATCGATACTTTGCATTTGATATCTCCATATATAGGTCAGCTCCAGGGGAGAATTACGATCAAGGAATGTTTTTAAGAATCACAGTTCCCAGCTAAAAGTATATATCCCTCTTGGGATTACTCGTATGACTACCAAAATGCATACAGTTTCAGAAATACCTATATTTCAAATGTTTTTTTGGGCACAATAAATTCATTAGGGGGACAGACAGAGGGATAGACTTATGTGTAGTAGTATTAGTATTCGGTTTAATTATCCAAATTAGCAGACCTTATCATACTGTGGGGGGGTTCCGTTAACAGCACCCTTCGTTACCCTATGCGGCCACCATCAAAAACCTCAGCTGTCTGGCTCTGTTGCTGTTTGTCCATTCTGCTACTATACTGAGTAACTAAAGAGCCAAATCCTGTCCGGAAGTTGGACTCTAATGGCTGGCTGCACTCACCTTGCTCCTGGCTCCTGACTCCCGTGCGGCTTAGCCATGGTATGAGTATGTGCATATCTGTGTGCGTGTGTATCGGATATGGGATATTAGCCAATTTCTAGAAGGCTGGAAATTATGAAAGTCATTCCATGATGACGAACTACGTTTGGGGAGTACACGGGATATTTATTGGTGGCGGAGGCGGAGGCGGAGGTGGAGGCGGAGGAGGTGGAGGCCGATTGTCGCATTGGGACAGTCGAGAACTTCAATTTCCGTTTTCAGCGGTCACACGCATGTCGACCTATAGATACACACACACACACACACAGAGATCCATATGCGATTGTACGAGTATGTGTGTGCGGTTAATTTGAAATGTTTCTTTAATAAAATTAAAATTGTGACGTGTAAGCCTTCTGGGAACGTGCCACGTGACGGTCGTTTGCCAGGTAAGCACATCATGATTCGTGTCGTTAATTGTATTGTACTTCAACTCGAGGCGGGCTACGTGGTCTGGTCCTGGGCGTTCCGAAAGTTCCCGTACGGATGGATGGACGGATAGATGGATGGATGGTGGTGGCTAGGTGCTACGGGAGGGTGAGACAGTGGCAGAGAACAGTGGCACAAGTGGAATTATGTCTGTGTCGCTGTGCTGGTGGTTGCTGCTCTATTAGAAGTTGATTGTAATCAAATTACACAAGCAACCTGTTTCCCATTTGGACTCCCCGTTGAGGTCTCTAGCTTCACGAGTAGTTCTTGTTCTTGTTGCTGTTTCCATCGCTGTGCCTGTGCCTGTGCCTGTCCCTGTCCCTGTGCCCCATGTTGTTGCAGTTGCCACTTGTTTTCGGCACAATCGAGCATGACGAAAGGGCGCACTGTCCACGCGCCATTGCCGCCGGTGGTTGGTTGTGGATGTGGTTCCATACTCCCAACTCCCCCCAAAGGCACACAACCCATAACCATTCCCAATTGCCAGCGCGTGCAGCGTGGCCGACTCGTGCAGTCCTTAATTTTCGGCAAACACTCTTCAGGCAACGCATTCGAGACCTGAGTTGAGTTGCTATTCGATTTCGATGTCGAGAGCTCAGGTGCCGCCAGCAAATGCCACTCAATCACCCACGCCCAAAGATGAACGCAAAACGGAAACCGAAACCGTATCCACAGCCCCCCCCCCCCCCCCCCCCATGACATCTCCTGGTTAGACCCCCCGATTCGATCTCTGGATGAAGACAAATTATTAACAAATTAGTTTTCCTTTCTGGGATCCAGTTTACTTGGAATCTGTCGTCTTGGAAGATCCAGGTCATGCATTGAAAACTATTCATCCCATCCCCTATGACTACCTCCCCCGCCGAATTGCAAACAATGACTCAACAGGAATACCAGCGACCAAATAAATATCTGCCCCAGCTGTAAGCCACAAAGGTAACTAATCAAAGAGCCTAAAACGAACTGGGTTCGAATCGGGACACCAGGCCGACCACAAACGCCGCGATGGGAGACCTCGCACATTGTGCCAACCGCTGAAAAGGCTGACAGTGGCCTCCGCCTCCGTAGCACACGCTCAAATCTCACATCAAATATTGACACCGAAGAGGAGGGCCTGGGAATGACCTGGCAGAGCACACCTGGATGCATATACTTTGACAATAATCAAACTACGAGCTAGCCGAAAAAGTTAAAATTTAATTAAAAATAAACAAAGTAAACTGCGCCTAGAAGGTAAAATAGGCCGGCGACACCGACGACGGGGCTGTATCAGCATCTTCTTGATTAGAATCCCCTTGTCCGGCGTTCCCTTGACCAGCATCCCCTTGGTAGACAAAGAATTGATCGGCATCCCATTGGTAATAACCTTGATCAGCATCGGCTCGATTCGAATGTTCTTTATTCTCGTCATCTTGTGGCTCAGTATTCTCTTGATCGCCATTGCCTTGATCGATTTCGCCTTGATTACCGTCGCGTTGATCACCGTCTGCTTGATTATCAGCTGTTTCCTCGTTGGAGCTCATTTGGATCTGCTTTATTTGCTCAGAAATGGAGTATAGCTCCGCAAGTATCTTCTCGGACTGCAAACCGATGGACGCATACTGACAGTCGCGCTCCTCGGAGCGCTGCTTCCACTTCTCGACCAATTCTTCAACCGATGTATCATCATAATCCAAAGGTTCCTCTTGGCCGAGCTCGCCGCCTAGTTCCACTACTTTCATCGAGTCCTGGTCAGGCTCCTCCTTCTGGTCCAAGGTGTCAACCTGTGGCCAGGACGAGCCTTCATCCTGGTTGGGAACTGGGGACATACTCGTCTCGTGCCAAAAGTACTTTTAATTTAAACAACTGCTCTATTGGGTTTTTTTTTGTTTTTTTAAAGTATTTATGTATATATTTTGAAAAATTAGAGAATATTTTTATACTTACATATTTTTTATCCTCAGACGAGTAGTTGTATTCGTTTCGGCAGTAAAAACTGTTGTGATATGATTTTGGTTCAGCTTTCTCTTGACAACTAAATCGGAAAAATTGATTGAAATCAGGGCCTACCAGCAACACCCAAAATAGGAATTCATAATATAATTCATAATGCTCGGCCCGTACAAGTGTCTCGATATTAAGATACCCAGTACTCAGATCTAATGCACGGCTATACAGACTCGACTATTGATTCTGATCAAGAACTTACTTTATGGGGTTGACCAGACCTCCCTTAAATCCAGCAATCTTGGGTACGTTGTGGAAATTATGGCAAAAGCAAAGAAACCCATAATTAGCCAAACGAATTAAATTTTTTTATTGCCCCATTTATTTTCTGCCTTGATCGCCATTGGGACTCACATCTTTGTCGATCTTCTTGGTCTGGCGCTATCGCAAGGTGCTCTGTGGCCCCTACAAGTCCGTATTTGAACTCCCATAGCTGGGTAATACCTTTTGGCTGTCCCTGAGTCATCGGTTTAAGGTTGGAGGCCCCTTTAAAGAAGTCTTTGCTTAGCAAGAAGGCCTCTGGCCTCTGTGTTTATATTAATTTATTTATTAGATTGTACAATAAAAAAATTCAAATATTCCTTACTTTATATGTTCTGAAATGTGTTTTTGCATCGCACACAAAATCTGCTTTAATAGAAAATCGCATCAGATTTATATCGACAGGTGAAACAGCGATTCGATTGGTTCGATTAGTTCTTATTTGAACTGGAAACCTATCTGAACCGCAGCTTCTCTCAACCCAATGTCAAGGAGTGAGCCCAGCGAAGCTCTATCCACCACCTCTAGCCCATAGAACACCTCAACCGCTCAACCCCCTCCTCAGGCAGAACTTTCACTCCATTGAACGGTAGGGGGTGGGGGTAGCTGTCAGAAAGTCTGGTAACATGTGTCATAATCGTTACGAGAGCAGACAGAAGACCCCCAGCGATGCAGCGCCGGTACGAACATTACAAAACTCATTAAATTAAACTAATTTACGAGGCAACAGCCCCAATCCTTCTGGTACTCCTTCTGCTTGGGCTCTCTGTTGCTCGTTCCGTTGGCCTGGGTTTTTGCTTTTGCGAGCATATGAAAAGCCAATTATGTGGAGAGGCAATCGCAATAAAAACAGACAGTGGCTCGAAGGAAGCAAAGGGTAAATAAGAGTAAATATAATGCTAATTAAAATAATCATATCCATCATAAAACTCCATCGCCCATCGCCAGGGGGTTGAGCGCTGGTTTGTTGTCAGGTTGTAAGTACATTTGTAACAATTAGAGGCAGCAGCCAAAATATCCATTATCAATTTCATCCCAACTGTGCTAAATGAGCAAAGACAACCACGGAGGAGGGTTAGCATGCGGATGAGAATGAGGATGAGGATGAGGATGATGAGCGGGGATAAGCTGGATAGTTGGTTGGCTGAGGATGAGGATGAGGGTGGCAGAGCTGCTGCTGGCCACTTGGCAGGCATTTATCACACAGATTTTCGGGGCTCGGCCAAGGCCGAGGACTCGGCTTGCGCTAACTTATGCTCCGATCTATGGTTGTTGCCACCCCCCCACCCAGAAGTCTCCAGCCTGGCCGCAGAACCATCCCTCTCGCTAACCCCAAAAAATAATATACAACACAGTACACTTAATTCAATTTAAATTACACTTACATATTTCCGGCGAGACCGGGGACCAGCTATATCCTGCCCTGGACGGCCAGTCCGTTCCTTCCATTAGTATTTGCAACATATGGCTCGATTTCCCTCAAATCATTTTCCATGCACGCACCGCACCGCACCGCACCGCCCTGCTTTTCCGCCGTACCGATCCGAATCGCCTAAGGGGATACATACAGTCCCAATCCCAGTCGCAGTTCCAGTTTCGAGCCCAGAACGGGACTCGCGCCCGCTTGGAGGGCAACCACAAGTGGTTTATCATATTGAAATTCATTTAGTGCACCTGTTTGATTTTTCCTGTCGCTGTGCGGTCGGCATATTGTTTTGTAAATATCGTTAACTTAGGACTGCCACTCCACACGCGACTGAAATTCACTTCCTGTTCGCTTGGATTGGGTTTGCCTTTGCCCTGGCCGCTCTGCCCCAGCGGCGACAGGCGGCAACAGCAAATATTTGTCTTATGTGCACATTAGAAACAACTTACCGATAACTAGGGTGGTTCGGGGCGGGGTGAGTGGGTGTCGAGCTTGGGGTTGGACACCAGGCGGAGACCCAAAAACCCCATGGATGTACTCAATGGGAGTACGGGAATGTTTCTAGGCATTCAAAAATGTGCAAGGAACCTTCAAAGACTAATTAGTGTGTTTTGAAAGGCCTTCAAAGAGGGAGAAGCTTCTCGAAATATACGCTAAAGAACGACTGCAATAACGACTAGCAGTGACCGTTATTTAAAACAATAAATTGTAGTTTATTGATCTCGAAATGGTCTCCTTATTTCCCCATATAATTTCTTTGATTTGATTAGACTTTGTTTTGGAAATAAAACTTAAAAATCTGCATAAAAATGAATTTACCCATCAGGTGGATACTCCCAGCCACTAGCACAAACTGCACTTAACGTTTAGGAAGTAAAAGTGTGCAAAAACTGTATCGTAGTATTACAAACATCGATGAATATAACCATACGCCATATGAACATACCCACAAAATACCTAAGCAATTGAAATACAATAAGGTTAAAAAAAAAAATTGATACATTTTGTATTTTTTTTGGATAATAGCACACTTATCAAAAGAAATAATAGAAGACTTCTGGCCAAA